TTTCAGCAAAACTGTGCACGGTTTAGCGTTCTTGCCGATTTGTTTCTTGCGGATTTCAATTCTTGCCGATTTGTGCGATCTCGGTTCATCGGCGCCGGACAAGAATAATAGTGAAAAATTGACTAAAACGCAAAAAATCGAGATAATGAATCCGGCAAATAACATTTTTTTAGGTTACGGTAGTTATCGTTGTGAGACCTTCGGCCACAGCTCCGATATTTTCATGCTAGAATAATACACAAATATCAGTAGTAATAATAATAATATATTTATTTGCAATGAATGGGGGAAATCAATAGATAATTTGGCAAGAAATGGGACCTGTACAAATAAAAAAGTAAAATGACCAGACGGACCGACTAGAGTCCTGTAGGTCAAGTGGGAGGGATCAGAATATCATAAGGAATCGCTCCTACTCGCTTAGCAAACGCCTCAATAAAATACACCATTTTCTGAAATTTCAGACGTTTTTTCCTCGATTTCCGCAATTTCTATTAAATTTTTTATAAATTCTGGCCAATTTCTTCGTAAAATTCAAAATTCTCTCCTTGAAATCGGCTAAAAAAATGGTTTCTTTTTCAATTAAGCTCGGTTTTTCGGTTAAAAATGGATTCTAGAGATTTTTTCTAAATACCAGAAAATCATATTTCTACCAAAAAAAAGTCTAAATTTAGTTAGGAAAAATTCCACAAAAATTTGCGAAACATTCACAGATTTCGCTTTGCATGCATTTTAATATAAAATCGGAAAAGTTCAAAATTCAGAAGAAGCAAACAACATTCACCAAGATAAATTATCGAACATCACCTGACACAATCACAAAAAACCTGTCGAAAATCCCGAGGAAAATCGGAAAAACCCAAAAAACAGGGATAGTTTGTCGGTCCATTGATCAGATATCACAATATTGCGCATCTCGTTTTACCTAAAACATCCCGAAATTTTCGATTAGCCAACGCAACCGCTTGAAACGCTTGCGCCGAGAAAGGAGATGATTGATACCCAATGAAGCCGATGCCATCGGAGGCGAAGAAGGCAAGAAGCAAGTTCCAATCGAGATGGGCGGTCTTGTCTTTTTTCTTACGTGATTTCCTCTCCCCCATCGGATGCATTTTTCGCCACTTCTTCTGGATAATTTTCCTCGTTTTCCCTCTCTCGTATTGTGTCGAGAGGACACAGCACATCGTGTTTCCCACTTCACCTAAAAAATGAGACATTCTGTGACCCTTTTTATTCTCTTGACCTCCTCCTCTGTAAATGGCTTCTTCTTCGGAGCCGCTGGTGGTGGTGGAGCTTGCGGATGCTCACAACCACCGGCTTGTCCCCCTCCGCCACCTCCATGTGGAGCACACCGAGCAGTAGCAAGAGGGGCCAAAACTAGGTCATTTGATCAGCCGATTACAGCTGGTTATCAACCGAATTATGCAACAAATCCAGGACCTCAAGTGTATACAGTTCCCGATGAACTTGATCTGGTGGGTTCCTTTTTTTTATCGTTTTGTTAGATCAAGAACTAGTTAACAAGCTAGTTGGATAACTTAGGCAATATACAAACATCTTATCTCTAGCAATACATTATGCAATCCAACCGACACTAATTGGACTTGTTCTTTATAAAATTCTTTAGAGAGCCGCCGCGTTCGGAGTGCCGATTCAACCGCAGCCCCAATACTCGATCTTCGACGTTTTGCATAATTTGGGTGAAAGTCGCGATAGTCCGGCACAGCAGTTGGTCGTCGCTGACGGAAGTACGAATACTGATTACTTCCCGAAAGAAAACGATGAGGACTTGACGGTGTCCGAGATGACAGGAAGCGGTGGATGGTATAGGGCGAAGGAGATTCGTAGAGCGCCAGCTGAGCCGACGGTTCATGTGCATCGTGATGGTTCCGTGGAGAGTACAACGCTGGGAAGCGTTGCGACTGAAGAATCTTTCGATAAAAACAAATGCAGCAGTGCAGTTCTGCGCAAGCTCATGCTTGAAGTAGGTTGTTTTTTATAACTGAAATAAGTAGAAATTTTTTCAGGAAATTACTGATAGCTCCGCCGAGTCTAAAAGAAACATCAACGTCGCCGCTGAAGGAAAGTTCGGAGGAAATGTTGACGTTATTTGCTCCAGAGGACACTTTTCTTACATTTTCACCTCAAATCTCTATTGCGAAGTTTCAAAAGGGCTTACGACATGCATCGCCTTCCGTCAATCCGACAAAGTTAGAAGGAGAAAATAAGTTCCTTACTCTGACCTCCATGTATATTTTAATAATTGTAATCAAATCGACGTCTTCTCAATAAAGACTTTTATTGAAAAATGAACAACAGATAGGGCGAAAGGTGTCGGGAAGATCCGTGGACCGATCAGCAGCTTAGAGCTTCAGCTTGGTGCGTCTCCAGTGACGTCTCTTGGCGTTGTACTTCATCTGCAAGCATTAAAGAATTTATTAACTGCATTGGCAACAAGTTTGAGAGTATTCTTATCAATTTTAAGGTCCGCCGTTCTCATTCAATCTTTGGCCATGTTTCGAAATTCCCTATAACGTAAATCGAGAAAAAACTTACGGTGTTTCCGGTCTTCATGCGGACCCACTGTGGCATTGGGCGATTTTGCTTCTGCTTCTTAGCAAGCTTGCGCTTGATGAACGACTTCTTCAAGGCAGACATTACCTAAAAACATGAATTTCAATATGAAAAATTAATTTTCGATAAGGAAACGGATTTTTAGCGAGAAGATAGTGACAAAATATACTGGAAATGCATCAGATTGCTATAAATTTCGTAAATTTTCATAATCTCACACGAAAACTTGAAAAATTCAGCTTAAAATTTGAAAAAAGTACGGAAACAAATTTTAGGACTCGCGAGAAAAAAGCCGAGGCAGCAAAATAGAAAGGGAGAAAGCGCATTTTCGCTGCGAGACCCGCCGTTTGGCTGCGTACTCGGCTGAGTATTCAACGCTTAACTGTGCCGGCGCGTCTCGCCGCATTTTCTCCCGCTTTTTTTCGAGTTTTCAATCGTTTTTCGCCAATTTTTCTGAAATTTCCATTAATTTTGACAAAAAAACAAAGTAAAAATCGAATTTTCAAGTTTTTTTCCATAGCTTGTGACCTGCTTTTACCCAACTTGTTCCATGTTTTTTCGACTAAATTATTGATTTTCCGATTTTCAGGATGCAGATCTTCCTTCTGGGCCTTGACAACACCACGCACACGCTTGACGTGGATGCTTCCACCACCCTCTCCGCTATCAAGGTGAGTAGCTTTTTTCTGATGGCTAATCAGCATTATTGTGAAATTTTTTTCAAAAAATCAGTTTTTCAGGGAGTGATCGGAGCCGGACAAGAGTTCTCCATCTCCTACGGATCCAAGGTCCTCAGCGAGGAGCTTACTCTCGGAGAATGCGAAATTGAGAACCTCTCCACCCTTTCCGTCAACGGAAGACTTCTCGGAGGTGAGAAATTTTGAGTTTAGAAAAAGTCTATAAAGTGATTTGATAACAGAATTTCGTTTTTCCATTCTTTAATAGAGAATAAAATAACATTCGTAATACGGAATACTACCAAATCGTGATGACTGAAAATAACGATTATTATTTTTCAGGAAAGGTCCACGGATCCCTCGCTCGTGCCGGAAAGGTTCGCGCTCAAACCCCAAAGGTTGACAAGCAGGACAAGAAGAAGAAGAAGCGCGGACGTGCATTCCGTCGTATCCAATACACCCGCCGCTACGTCAACGTCGCCACCGGGCCAGGAAAGAAGCGCGGACCAAACTCCAACTCCTAAACACCAGCGTTGTTGTTTTTCAAATAAATTGTTAATTTTTTGAAAAGTGTTCACATAAATAAATCCTCCGCGTTGATTCGCACCGTTCTAGTTACATAATACATCTATCAGTTGATACTCCGTCTCGCAAGCTAATGCTCTTCTTGAAGATGTCTGAAGAACTATTACAAAAGTTTTTAACATCAATCGAGCAAGAAGACGGAATCGTAGAAGCCGGAAAGAAGAAAAAGAACAAGAATGCGGTGAGAAGAGAGAATGTGAAGAACATCCTCCATGCAGCTTCAAAAGGACAAGTTCAACTCTCAGTCGAAGAGAGCTACATCGTACAGAAGCCCAGCACTTCGAAAGGCTCCGATTATATTGACGATCGATTGGCATCGAAAGGATTCTCTTTGATCGATCAAGCACGCTCATTCAAGCCAAAAGATCTCAAGAAGAGGAATTTGAAGTGAGAGAGATTTATTGGAAAGTTGAAACCCTTTTTTTAGGTACATGAAATTTCAAGAGGGTCGTCGTCTGGATCCTAAAAAAGGACGAGTTTTAGTGCAAGCACATATGAAGACGAAAGCAGATTTGAAAGGTCTTCGGAAAGAAAAACAAAAGGTCATCGGTATGTTCTATTTTTTCAAAATTGGTAATCGAAAAATGTTTAACCGCGTTGTGGCGGATAGTCTTGGGCAGAATTTTGAGAAATTCAGCTCAAACAAGCCACGTGGCGCAGTGCCTTTTCGATGAATCAAGAAAAATCCGCAAAGAAGATAACCGTTTTTCAATCAGAATTTTTTGCAGGAGTAAAAGAGCCACGTCGTCTGTTGCCGGGCCAAAAGAAGAAGGAGAAGAACAAGAGTGTGTTCAGTGATGCGGATTTCGCTCAAGTCGCCCACGTTGCCAAGAGAATCAACTCGATGTCGGATCACTCATTCCTCTAAAGTTGTCTTACTCGTTTCGTTTTTTTGTTGATTTTTGATTGTTTCGTTGTTTCACTTTTGCCGTATCACATGTATTCTTAATTTGAAGATTTCTTCAATATTATTCAGAGCTCTATTCAATTTTTAGATGGATTTTCAGACAGGCATCGCCCCCGTCTCCGCTCAGTTACGAGCTCTTGGGCGCTTGAAAATTCGAAAACTGATCGAAAAAAAAATGTGAAAGAAACTTCTAAAAATTTTAGCATTAGATGCTAAGATTATCAAAATTTTGAAGAGGTTTATCGTTTAAAACTGGTTTGGAATTTCAGAAAAAGTTGAGACAGCTTCAGAATATGTTGCTTCTCTTAACAGATCCGATGCTTTGTACCAATGTAACAACCTTGGCTCGAATCTTTGACCCGGATCCGCCGACGGCAATTCTTGAATATAACTATTTCTAGAAATTTTGAAAAAATCCGAATCCCTCTCGAACGTTGTCACTTCATGTTTCTTTCCTCGAGAAAGGATTCCCTTCTTCCCAAACCATCAAAGCAAAGTTCATACATTTCGACGTCGTAGCTACTATTCTACCCAATTACTGAAGGCTACAACACAATCAACCATCCTCAATAAAAATCAGAGGAGAACCAAACGATCAGTAATTCCGATTTTTGAAGGTTGCCAGTGATTTTTCACCGCCCGCGCAAGTCAGAAAATTCAATCAGAAAAACGAATGATGTCTCTCATGGAAGTCCACCCGAATAGTCAAATTTCAGCTTTATTATCTCGGTTTCTATGAGAGATAAAAAATCTGTCAACTGATAAAACTGTTTATCATATTATCACTTATCTTTTATCAGTTGACAGATTTTTTATATCTCTTAGGGGAACCGAGATAATTGATGTCAAAGTTGACGGTTAGAGTGGGCTTCACCACACCTCAGCTATAAAAGGATATTTTGTTTTTATTTTTCAAATCTCTCTGATATTATCAATAGAGCGAACTTGACATGATTCGATCTCGTATGTCTGAATTAGGTGTTTGTGGAACTCAGAACAAATCAGACAAGTGCATGTTTTCGTTCGACGAACTTTGGAAGTACGTCATTTTGAGAACTTTTGTTGTGGTATAAATCAGCAGATCTGAAGTTTGAGAAGATTATCTCGGTTCCCATAAGAGATATCAATAATCTGCCAACTTATAAAATGTTTATCATATTGTGAGCAATATTTTATTAGTTGACCACTTTTTGATATCTTTTTTAGGAACCGAGATAATTGAGCTACACGGTCGCACCCTACTGATCGACAGCCACCACAGTTCTATTCCTTCAGGCTGAATTATCTCGGTATCTGTAAAAGACAACAAAAAGTGTCCAACTAATGAAATGTTTATCATGTCGTGAACAATATTTCCATAGTGGATCACTTTCTGATATCTCTCATAGAAACCGAGATAATTGAGGTACGCGGTCGCACCCTACTGACCGACTGCCGCTCCAGCGTTTTTTCTTTAAGCTTAATTATCTCGATTCCTATGGGAGACAACAAAAATTTGCCAATTAATAAAATGTTCATCATATTGTGAGCAATGTTTTGTTGGTTGACAACTTTTTGATATCTCTTACAGTAACCGAGATATATAGTCTCAAAGTAGGGTGGGTCTCTTAGAACCAATTCGGTAGCAATTTTTCTTGGAAGGTTTCATCTGGGGCTTTTTACCTATTTCAGAACATTTTTTAGATTGAATCGATTGTTTGACGTGTGTCGAAAAATGATTCTAAAGACTTGAAGACGTTTGTAAAGGAGAATACGTCAGACGAAACAAATATTTTTTTTCATTTGTGTGTGTGCGTGTAATTGTAAACAAATAAATATCGATGGGGTCATCATCACTACAGAAGGTAGTTTTGTACAAAACTAAACTGACTGATAGTGAGTAGCTGTAAGAATCTGACTGATAATAAATTTATCTGAAACCCATTACCCCTGACCCCCCTCTCTTTGTCTCTCTCTGTCTAATTCCTCTCAATTCGCTGAAAAGAACAAAACCTTTCTTTTTCATTTTTGTCTCTTTTATCAGTCTGTTGACCAAATCTTGCCATCCTTCTTCCGCGTGACAAATCTCTTGTTTCTTGTAGGTAACAAAGTTAGTTTTTTTGATGATTATCACACAGTATGTGACTAACTCTACTGACCATCTTTTTCCTTTTTCCGCTTTAAAATAAAATTACAATTAAAGGAGGCCAGACAGCAAAAAAAAAGTTTTCCTGAGATTTTGCATAGAGAACCCCCATGAGGGGTTGAACTCATGACAGGCAGCTCAGGGGTACAGCGCCGCTACCGGCTGAGCTACGGGGGCGCGAAGGCGCCTGACGACCGATGGTCTACATAAGCGCGGCGCGATTTCGTCCCCCGAACTGTCCCCGAAATTTTTGCTGTCTCGCCTCCTTTAAAAAAAATAAATTTCAGTACAGCACAATGATCATCGTTTTTGCTATAATCATCGGCTATGCCATTTATCTATTCGTTGTGAATTTTCCACAAATTCTGGAGCTATGGAGAGTGAACCGAAAATGTGCACAGAATCTTAGTGTGAGTGATTTTTTAGAGATTCTGAAAATCACAAAACCCAAAAAATTCAGATGGTAATGGGACCCCCCTCTCTTCCACTAGTGGGATCCGCTCATTTGTTCAAATGGCACCCCTATGATTTCACATTTCAAATGGAGCAATGGGCTCAGAAATATCTATTCAGTAGAGCTAAATATGGGGAGATTGCTGCGCCAAACAATGAGGTTGATGGGATAATGCTGTTGTGGATTGGTCCTGTGCCAATTGTCTTTTTGGGGATGTCAGAATGTATTCGAGTAGGTTTGCTTTTAACTTTGATCCAATTTATTTCGGTTCCTGTAAGAGATATCAAAAAGTTGTCAACTAATAATAAATTGTTGATATTATGATAAACATTTTATCATTTTACAGATTTTTGATATCTTTTACAGGAACCGAGATAATAAAGCTCAAAGTGCATGTAACGTAAAACCTGCAAAAAGGGTATCTTAACTTTGACCCAATTTATCTCGCTTTCTGTTAAATATTTCAAAAAAGTTTTAACTGGCAAATTGTTTATCATAATGTCAACAATATACTGTTAGTTGACATTTTTTTAATATCTTGTACAGGAAGCGAGATGAATTGAGCTCAAAGTTAACAGTTTGGGCATTTATGCATGTTTTCAAAAATTTGGGAAATCCTGAATTATGGGAATTTCTGAGTTTTTGAACTTTCTGAAGTTTAAGAATTTAAGATCTTTCAAAATATTTGAATTTTTCGGATGTTCAGAGCTATTGGAATTCCAAAATGTTTGGATTTTCACAGTTTTCTGAATTTTTTGAATTTTTTGGAATTTTTTGAAATTTTCGAATGTCTCTACTTATTTTTTGTTCTGAATTTATCAATTTAAAGCTTTCAAACAGTTTTAAAATTATTGAAAAAATCTCTAATAAAATTGCACTCCAGAGGTCCAATTTTAAGCCAATTTATCTCGGTTGCTGTGAAAGATAGCAAGCATTTGCCAACTGATAAATTATTCATCCTAATATCAACATTTTATCAGTTGACAAATTTTTGATAGCTATAATAGGAACCGAGATAATTGAGCTCAAAGTTCAACTAGTTCTATTAAATAACTTATGATTGCATAAATTTTAACAAACAAGAGCTCTCAAATGTTTTGAATTTGGCGCCAAAAATATTAGGAAACCTGAATTCCAGCCAGTGCTCGAAAGCAATACCAACATCTCCAAACCGAGTCAATACGACAAAATGAGCGAATGGATTGGCACTGGCCTACTAACAAGCACCCACGAGAAATGGTTCCATAGACGAAAGATGCTGACACCGACATTCCATTTCAGTATCATTCAAGATTATTTCCCAATTTTTGCTAGACACGCAGAAGTTCTTGTCGAGGCAGTGGAGCCACATGTGGATGGCGATTTCTTTGATGGTTTCCCGTATTTCAAGAGATGTACACTGGATATTATTTGTGGTGAGATTTAATAATTTTTGCGGGATTTTGAAAAATGTGCTTCTAGAAACTGCTATGGGAATTCAAGTGAACGCCCAACTCGGCCAGAATAACGAATATGTTCATGCAGTGAAAAGAATCTCAGAGATCACTTGGAATCATATGAAGTTCCCATGGCTTTGGTTGAAACCAATTTGGTACTTGACGGGTCTTGGATTTGAGTTTGATCGAAATGTGAAATTGACCAATGATTTTGTGAGAATGGTAAGATAACTTATCGTAAATGGTTGCTCGAAAGCTCACTTATCTCGGTTCCTGTGCAAGATATCAAAAAATTGTCAACTGGCAAAATGTTTTTTATAATATCACCAATATTTTATTAGTTTACAAATTTTTGATTGCTCTTAAAGGAAGCGAGATAATTAATCTCAAAGTGCAGGGGCTCAATTTGAGCATAAAACTCAAAAAATACTGTCAACTTTGAGTTCATTTATCTCGGCTCCTATAAAAGATGTCAAAAATCTGTCAATTGAAAAAATATTGGTTATAATATGATAAGTAATTTATCAATTGACGAATATTTGTTACCTTTTATAGCAAGCGAGATAATTGAGCTCAAAGTACAGGGGCTCAATTTGAGCATAAATACTCCAAAAATACCGTAAACTCGGTTCCTAGGAGAGATATTAAAAATGTGTCAAATAATAAAATATTGGTGATATTATGATGAATGTTTTATCAATTGACAGATTTTTGGTATCTCTCATAGGAACCGAGATAATTGAGTTTTTAGTGCAGCGTTTGTAACCGTAAACACTTTAACACAACCCCACCCATACCGTCAACTTTGAGCTCAATTATCTCGGTTCTCATAAGAAATACCAAAAGTTTGTTAATTGAGAAAATATTTATTATAATATCACTAAAATTTTACCAGTTCACAGATTCTTGATAGCTCTTAAAGGAAGCGAGATAATTGAGCTAGAAGTGCGCATACAGAATCTCACGAATAATTTTTCAGGTTATCCATGATCGAAAAGAGTTGCTGAAAGAGGAGAATGAGGAGAATAGCAGGAAAAGAAAAGCATTTTTGGATCTTCTCCTTACAATTCAAAAAGAAAAAGGAACACTGTCAGATGAAGATATTCGTGAAGAAGTGGACACTTTCATGTTCGAAGGGCATGACACCACGTCAAGTGGAATCGGATTCACGATTCTCTGGCTCGGCTTCAATCCAGAGTGTCAGAAGAAACTCCATCAAGAACTCGATGAAGTTTTTGGATTCGCCTCTGATCAAACTCCAACCATGGATGATATCAAAAAGTGTAGCTATCTGGAAAAGTGTATCAAGGAATCGCTAAGAATGTTCCCATCGGTTCCTCTAATTGCACGTCGTCTATCAGAAGACGTCACGATTGGTGAGTAGTGTTTACTTTCTATTTTTTTTGATGATTTTGATGGTCAATGGTCAGATAAGGATGCCTGTGAGGTTAGAAGTACGTAGAAGATTTGATTAGTTGAACCTTCGGCGAGGAATTGCATCTTTAATGGTCAAACCAGTTACGTAGGATTGTATGTAATTTGATCGCAATGTTTGAACTGTTTTTTGGGCGGTTTCGAAAGTTCTAGAGAACATTTTTTTTTGCAAAAAAAAAGTTAGAGAACCGGTTCTTGAAAAGTGGAAAATAGGGAAATTTGCAAGGTCGGGTAGGAACGGAAACGGGGAAAAATCAAAGTTACTTTGAGCTTGATTATCTCGGTTACTGTAACAGATATCAAAAAATGTTCAACTGATAAATTGTTTATCATAACATAATGAATATTTTATCATTTGACTGATTTTTGATATCTCTCATAGGAACCGAGATCATTGACCTGAAAATAAACGGTGGGCTGGATAGCCGATCTTCGAAAAATTCCTCATGAAAACTTACTTTTTTCTAGTTTCAGAAGTTAAAATATTTCAAAAATTCGAACATTTATAAAACTTCAAAATTCCAAAAATTTCAAATTTTCAAAATTCAAAATGTCCAATTTCAAATTGTAAAAAACTTCAAAAGTTCAAAAATTTCAAAAACAAATTTCGGAAAATTTCAAGTTTCATATTCTCAAAGTTTCAGAATCCGATTCTCACTAAACCGTTTTAGAACCAATTTTTTGGTTTTCCAGACTTTCCCTTTGAAAAATTTTAATTGATAAAATTGATCTACCTCAAAACCTGTAATAAAATAATACCCTAATTTTGAGCCAACTTTTCTCGTTTCCTGTGAAAGATGTCAAAATTTTGTCAACTGTCAAAATATTTATCATGTTATCAAAAACATGTTATCAGTTGACTATTTTTTGATGCCTTTCACAGGAGCCGAGATAATTGAGCTCAAAGTCCACCATCGATTTTGGAGTCATTTTTATAACTATAATTTGGAAAAATCCTATTTTAAAAAAGTGTCCACAATTAAAACAAAAATGATTACAACGTTTTTTTTTCAGACCACCCCAGCGGCCAAAAAATAGTCCTCCCGGCAGGCCTAGCCGCATGTGTCTCCCCCATCGCGGCCGCCCGTGATCCACGTGCCTACCCGGACCCGGACCGCTTCAACCCCAACAACTTTGACATCGACGCAATAGCTGGAAGAGATCCCTACGCATATATTCCATTCTCAGCTGGCCCTCGAAACTGCATCGGTCAGAAGTTTGCAATCCTTGAAGAGAAAACAGTGTTATCCACATTTTTCCGAAAATTCGAGGTGGAAAGTTTGCAAACCGAAGAGAACCTTCGGCCGATTCCAGAGCTGATTTTGAGACCCTATAACGGAATTCGAATCAAAATTAAACGACGGGAAGCCGATTTTGTAGTTTATTGATTGTCTCGAAAACTTTGAATTGTACATTAAACTTTATATTTTTCAATTGAACTATAACGATGTGATGAATGAAACATTCTTATTTCTCAAAAAAAGAATTTTCTCAAAATTGTCCCTCCTTTGTCTCCATTGATTGATAGATGGGGTTGTCTTCTCGAACTACTGAAACCTACACCTTCTGAATGAAGAATATATGAGACGCCGCAGAGATGATAACCCGTTTTTAGGTACTCTCACCAACCCCTTATAAAGGTTACAACGTGAAGAGAGGAAGGAGAAGAAGAAGCTGGAACCTCGCATCATATTCTGAAGAAGACGTGCTGTCTGAATCTGTTTTTTTTTGATTATTTCAGACCACACAACTTGTTACCTTGATCTATCTTTTATTGGTTCTATGAATCCTTTGATCCTTAAAAGTTGCTATGATCCTTTGAATTTCAGCCAGAATGCGTCGCTCAATCGCTGTCCTCTCTGTCCTATTGGTTTCTCAGACTTCTGCATTCCTTTTTGGTGGCGGATGCTGTCAAGCTCCAGTTATGCAATCCCCATGTTGTGGAGGAGCCACAAGTTGGGCCTATGCACCGCCCCAGGTTATTGGATATGAGAGAGTGAGTTTTATAATGATTGTGAAATTTCCCACAAAACTGTGTAACTTCAATTGCTCTAGCTAGAAATTGAAGCGAGTTATGCGCCCTTTTAGTTGGACCTTTGAAAAGTTACACCTTTAAAGTTTAGTCTAACTTAGCCCAAGGTTAAAGGCACATAACTAGTTTCAATTTTGAGCTAAAGAAATGAAATTTACACTATTTTATAGGAAATTTTAAGAGCATCAAAACGGTATAAAATGTCAAAAACCCAAAATGGAAAAAGAAGTGCTAGCTTACTTTAAAGACGCGTATCTCAAACACTACCTCAAGTTATTGGATATGAGAGAGTCAGTCCAACTTTAAAGACGCATAACTCGCTTGGATGGTGAGCTAGAGAAATGAAAGTTATTTAATCTTGCAGGAAATTTCTAGAGAATTCTAACCATATAAAATATTATCAACTTGAAAACAGAGAGAAACGCGCTCGGTGAATTTAAAAGTGCATACCGTACTTCCTCCAATAGAAGCCTACCCAAACAGTCATCTTTGAGTTCAATTATCTCGATTTCTGTGTAAGATATCAAAAACTTGTCAACTGTTAAATTGTTTACCATAATGTCATCAACATTTTATTAGTTGACATAATTTTGATATCTTTCACAGAAATCGAGATAATTAAGCTCAAAGTTGACGAAATTCCAAATACCTCCTGAGCTCGGGTCTGAAAAAATTTCAGATGCTGAAAGCCTGTGAAGTTTCAGAGCAACACATTTATTTTTACAGATTCCATTGTACGCTAAAGTCCCAATGCCTGCACCACCAACCTAGTAAGTTTCGTTTCTCTCGATTTTTCGGTAACACTAATCTTTGACTTGGCTGGAGTCTCCTCTGAACCTTAAACCCAGAACTCATAACTTAAGTAATCCATTCCAAGTTGGACTTCCAACACCCCTGAACCTTATATCCTTATATTAGAGGACATAACTTCAGTCATAACTCGTGTGAAGTTATCTAATCAACCGTTCTGATCCTAACCTTTCAGCCTTGTCCGCTCGAGACCCGTGGTCCAGCGTGTTGTCCAATCCGAACCGTAAGTCCTCTCTAAAAACTCTGTATTATATGTTTCTAACCTCTCAGTTATTATCCACCACCACCACCACCACCACCACTTGCCCCACCAGTTTATCAGCCTCAACCATCCTACCCAGCGCCAATGGATAATTTTGCAAGTGGTCCACAATCAGCTATCACTTCAGTATCTAACCGAATCCCCTCTGTTATCCCACCTCCACAGGACAGATATGACGATGGGGATGTGATGTATGGAATTTCATAAGAAGAATTTATTTTTGTACTAACCCAATTTTTCAGAGTGATTGAGACGGATGACAATAGAAGACGAAGAATGTCAAAGTTGTAGGTTTATTACACATAACAAATTTTCATCTAGCAGAAATCATAGAAATATCAGCTTATAAGCATTTTCTCTCTTATTTTCAGCGTTCAACCTCCGCCACAAGGCTACGTATCGCAACCCGTCGCCCCGCCACAGGTACTTTACACTTATATAAGACACCGATAATCTCATCTCGTTTTTGATGAGGGGGTGTATTAGCATTTTTACACATCAACATGAAATGACAACAAGTGGTTTTTTGTAGGGATACCAACAAGGGCCACCACCACAACAGCCACAAGGATATATGGGACAGGTTGAACAGGGAATCGAGGTGACGGTATGTTTGAAATGCGATCAAATAAGAAAATACCGTAACCACTCTAATAGAAGAGCACCTACTCTGAGCTCATATATGTCCGTACCTGTAAAAAATATTTAAAAAAAAAGTTTTTCTTTAAGCCAATTTATCTCGGTTTCTGTGAAAGATATCAAAAAGTTGTCAACTGATAAATTGTTTATCATAATTTCACAAACATGTTGTCAATTGACACATTTTTGATATCTCTTATTGGAACCGAAATAATTGAGCTCAAACTTGACATTCGAAATTTACCGAAAACTTGGAATTATAGGCTTTACGATAACCCCGTTTGATTTTATTTTTGAGTGGAGGAACGAGAAGGTTCCTGAATCTAGATTTCCAAGAAGGAATCAGGAAGCTGAAAGTTTCAAAAACTCCTAATCCACAAAGCTTTTTGGCTGACGTACAAACCAAAAGTTCAGTAATCAGCAGGTGAAATCATTATCGCTAAAAATAGAAGGCTGAAATTTTTTACAATTTTTTTTCGTAGATCAAGACACAATGGATTTCGTAATCTCTTTTAAAGGTTTGCATAAAAACTGGACCTGATCCAAAAGTGCTGTAAACCCTGTAATAGAAGGGCACCCTAACATTTAAAATCTCTACTAGAGATGTACCCCAAGCACCCAACTTTGAGCCAATTTATCTCGGTTTCTGTTAAAGATATGAAAAGGTTGTCAACTGATAAATTATTTATCATAGTGTTTATTTATCACAGAAACGTTTTACCAGTTTACACATTTTTGATAGCTCGCATAGGAACTGAGATAATTGAGCTCAGTGCGGGTGCAGGGCGATGGTCTACATTAAAGGGGTCCCTAATTTTCAGAGTGTAGGGTGCCCTTCTTTTAGAGTGTTCACGGGAAACGGAGAATTCAAATATGGGCTTTAGAATTCAAAGATAAATTCTTCCAGCCCGACCAAATCAACTCTGGCTACCAACCACACCAAGGAGAAGCTCAGGCTCAATTCTCGAGCTCCCAGGGACAATTCGCCCAGTCTCAGGGCCAATTTGCCCAAGGACCACAAGGACAATTCGATGGAGCCGCTTCTGACATCGCCTCCCAATCCACCGGACTTGTCCAATCTGTTGCCAACAACGCCGCCTTCGAATCGGCCGGAATTGCTCCAAGCGCTAGACGTCTTCGCAAATTCAAGAACTAAAAGAACTATAGAGTTGTATTGATGTATCCTGTTGTTAGTATTTTTTCTCAAGGCATATTACCTCCATTCTCTCTGCTCAAGTGTTGTTTTGTGTACATATAATGAACGTTCAAAAATCCTTATTCTTGAAATCAAAACCTTTCCAAAAAAGGCAGCTGATAAGAATAAAAATCAGCTGTTGCTTGCCACCCTCACCACAACGTCGTCGTTTTCAGAGACCCATCTCTCTCACACTGCTTCTGACGTGACGTCGTCGTCATTAGTAATTCAGAGAAGGGTCTTTTGACGTCCTCCCAGAAATTTTTCTCTTTTTTTATGTATACCTTACCTGTCTATCCATTTTTTAATTCAAAACGAAAATTTATTCGTTCCGGAGAAACACACGAAGGTGATAGCGTGACTAAATTTAGTAATAGCTAGGTTGAGTAAGTTGGCCTGTGAAAAATATATTTAACTGAAGAAATAACAAATGATGACATATTTTTTGAAATATGCTTCTTTTTTTTCAAATGGGGGGATTACGGTAGCTGATGATTTTTGATGATTTCTGAAGCTTGTATGATTCAGGCGGGATCAGATCTGAGCAAAACGTCATTGTTTTTAGAAGGCGTGTGCAGGAAGAAGAACAATGAAAATTTTCATTTGAACTTTAAAATTTTCAATCCTTTTTCATCAAATCCGGGAGTATAAAAGAAAAAAAGGAAACCAATGAGATTATAACATCTTGTTTTCTGGATTTGTGTATGTTCAGTTTTTTTCAGAATATTCATTTTCCCACTGATCATACTGCCAAATTGTTACCATACGTTTTTATACCTCTAACAGATGGAAGGCTGTGCCAAACGATGGTCGACCGCGGCCGGTCGTGGCAGTCTTGAATAGAATGACCCTTTGAACTTTGAGCCAGTTAATCTCGGTTTCTGTAGAAGATATCAAAAAGTGGTCAACTGACAAAAAACTGATATTATGATAAACATTTTGTTAGTTAACCACTTTTTGATATCTTTCACCAAAACCAAGATAAACCAGTTTAAAGTTAAAGTTACTTGAGATACGACAATGCAGGAACGTCTTCCCACTATTAAGTTTGACCCAGTTTATCTGGGTTACTGTAAGAGATATCAAAATGAAGTTAACTGGCAATATCTGACAAAATGTTTATCATAATATTAGCCACATTTTATCAATTGATTACTTCTTGGTATTTTTAACAGGGACCGAAATAAATTGGGCCAAAGTTGACGGTCAGGATGCTATTTTTTTTCATTAAAACGTCTAATACTTGAGTCAATTTATCTCAGTTTCCGTAGAAAATATGAAAAAGTGGTTGACTGATAAAATGTTTATCATAATATCATCCATTTTTTATCAGCTGATTACTTTTTGATATCTCTTGAATGAGCTGAGATATAGGGGCTCAAAGTGGACGGTCTGGATGCCATTTCTTATTAGAGCGTCTAATATTTGAGCCCATTTATCTGGATTTCAGTGAAAGATATCAAAAAGGTGTACACTAAAATAATGTTGCTGTTGTTATGATAAACCGACCGCCGCCAGCCGCGGCGCGGTTTTTATAGTCTTGCTCATTAACTGAAAAGTTACGTGATTTCTTGATTTTCAGAGGGTTCCCATTTCCGTGTTTTAGAGCTCCGAATTCCCACGACATCAAAAAATCCTTTTTTGATCCTAGAAATGATGTCAGTGAACCCCAAACACCCACTTCTTAGAATCCATTGTTCTCACCTTTTCAACTTTTTCTTATACATAATGATCCTGACCAACTACCTACGTCTTCAAAGGGAAACAAAAGAGAAAACGAAAAACTTCTCACACACTTTTTCATGATCTCGTTTTTCACCCACATCTATTTCCAATTCAAAAAAAAAACATTTTATTGGTCCTGGAGTACCTGAGGTCACGCAACTTCGTCGACCCATTTATGCGCATAATTTAAATGTCGTGGTGTGCGTTTCCGGAGAGAATCGACGTCGACTAAAATGGTCCATAAAACTTTTATCCTCTTCTTCCAACATCCAGCCAATTTTCGTGTCATTGTTCCTCTTCTATTTAATTGTTCGTTTTTTTCTTACTTTGAGCTGTCTGCACTTTTCCCTTATTCTTCTTCTATATTTTTGCTTTACATTTTCCGTCGACGTCTTCTTGAAGTATTCGGAAACCAAGACATTTGTATTACTCACTATACTATTAGCTTCTAGTAATTGCAGACATTTAGAAACGAATAAAAAATTCGTACGTCTCCCCCAACCCCCGAATTTTCGATTTCAAAACAAGACATGGGGTATTCAGAAAATTGATGGATGGCTCATCATTCATAGAGGGGGTTGTACAGAAAAAGTGGGCGGGCCGAGTGTTCCGGATGAGGAGATATTGAAATACGGAAATGTTAGGGCTTTCAGTCAGTTATGTCGTTCAGTCTACTAGGGGGTGGGGGATGACTAGTACCTTCTCTTCTTTTGAATGTTATTAGTAAGTTTCTGATCTTCTCTCTCTTTCTGGGGATCCATGAGGTCCATGGATCTAGTATTCAAAGAATCTAGAATGAATATGAATTAGGTTTCTCTAGGATCTATTTGCTCTGGGGTTCATAGAAACACTAGGAATCCAGAGAACCTAGGAATCATAGGATCATAGGATCTGGGATTCCAAGAAGCTAGGAAGGATAAATAAACTCTAGGATGAATATCAATTAGGTTGCTCTAGGATCATAAATTCACAGAAATTAGGAACCCAAGGATCTATGATATATAAGGTCCAGGTTCTTTAGAATCTAGAAGATCACGGGCTTCACCGACAACTTCTGGTCGGAGGTTGGCCAGTTTGGGACCAGAACTTGGCTAATAGTTTCCAGTTTCTCGATTAGATTTGACACTAAATTGAAGGTGATAAGGCAGCTGAAGTTTTTGTTTCTGAAATTTTATAACTTTGTATTACATTGAAAATTATCCAAGATCCAGATAGCCTACGGCGTATGACCTATGGTAAAACCTGGACTTTTTGAAATCTACCGTATACCTATACTTTGATCAATTTTATCTCGGTTCCTGTGAGAGATATCAAACAGTTGTTAACAACTAAAATGTTTATCATAATATCAGGAACATATTGCCAGTTAACTTCTTTTTGATATCTCTTACAGTAACCCAGATAAACTGGGTCAAACTTAATAGTGGGAAGACGTTCCTGCATTGTCGTATCTCAAGTAACTTTAACTTTAAACTGGTTTATCTTGGTTTTGGTGAAAGATATCAAAAAGTGGTCAACTAACAAAATGTTTATCATAATATCAGTTTTGTCCAGTTGACCACTTTTTGATGTTTGCTACAGTAACCCAGATAATTTGTGTCAAACTTGACGCAGTTCTTGAGCCGCAGCTTTTTAGTTAAGGTGCTTCTAGGATGTGGCGGCCTAGAAGGTTCTGGATGGCTGAGCTTAACAGACGGTTTGCTCTATATCAGCTTATCTATGGTCCGGGACCGCGGCACAGCTATACGGTACCTCCATACCAAAACGTGCGTAGTAGACTCTCCTTTACTGACATCATCCACACCTAGACGGACCCTGTTTCCATGGACGACATCAAAAATTCTAATGTGACTTTTTGAAGGATACATGAAATATACAAACTTACGACGAATCATCAGAAACTTTACTATATTCTCTTTCTTTCTTTTTTTCTTTTGCTCGCTTCGTTGAACTTTTTAATGTCAATGGGGCCAAAAATGCTCCGGATATCCTCTACGAAACTTTTTCTGGACCCTTTCTCTTCCTCGATGCAATTCGATAATCGTGGAAACGGATCTCGCAAGATGTCGTTTTTTTCGCTTTTTAGTTTTACAAAACGAGTTTTTTCTTGGTTATCTATAGGCCATAATCGAAGCAAAACCCAAAATTAGGTTCCAACTCTCATAAAAACTGGCGTCATTCCCAAATTCCCCTCCTCCCACGAATGTTCCACATCACTTTCCTTTTCTCTCAGTTTTAGGGATTTTTTTGGATGTGTACATATCAGGAGAAGAAGGGTTTTTATGGGCTTGTGCTGGGAGTCGCAAAGGGGATTCATGCATTTTGGGAATATATTGTATTGTTTTTTTGTAAATGTCTAGGCTAGAATATTATACTAGGTGGGTGTACTCAGGGGAAGTGGGTTGGGTATAAATAGTTCGTCTTCTGGAAATTTTGGTTCAAAATTAGGACGCTTATCGAAGACTACCGTAAAAATATAACTATTCCCTATTCGTTTATTTTGAGCTTAATTATCTCGGCTTCTATAAGAGCTATCAAAGTTTCTGAAACTATAGAAATGTGGGTGATATCATGATAAACATTTTATCAGTTTCCAAATTTTTGATATCTCTTATAGGAACCGAGATAATTGAGCTCAAAGGGTAAGTAGAAGGGTGGTGATCTACATTCAAAGGGGGGGGGGGCGTTAATTTTGATAACGGACCTAGTTTTTAGGCCAAATATGTCGCATGGGCTTCGTTAGGGTTTAAGTGGAACCATGGTCCAAAAAAGGCCCTTAGGTTAAACTGGAAACACCATTCATTCTAGTCAGCTTGAAGTGCCGAATCTACCATAAACACGGTAATAGCCCCCTCCTTCCTCCGAGCGAACTTATCTCGGTTTCTGTAAAAGATATCAAAGAGTTATCAACTAACAAAATGCTTATCAAAGTATCAGCAACAGATGGTCAGTTGACCGTTTTTTGGTATCTTTCACAGGAACTGAGATAAATTGGCTCAAACTGGACCCGCAGTTTTTGAGCCGCATCTTTTTGGTTAGGGTACTTATAGGATGTGGTGGCCTAGAAGGTTCTGGATGGCTGAGCTTAACAGAAGGTTTGCTCTATATCAGCCTATCTATGGTCCGGGACCGCTTAACAGCTATGCGGTGGGGAATGAGGCCATTCTTCTAGAGTATTTACGGCATCATATAGAAAGTTAGGACTTTGAGTTCTAGCTAACTATAGGCTATTTAATTTTAAGCAACTTTTTTTCATGAATTTTCAATTCTTTCGAAATATTTATGACCCACATCTCGAGTTTACTCCTCCCCCTCTAGACCATGGGTCAACTTGTTGCGACTCGTCAAAAATTCCAGACCGATGTACCGTAGAAGAATATCACTTCCTTTTTCATCTCCTCTCGTCATTCCTCCCATTTTTATCCCAACACCATCATTTAGAAACCAGCACCATCACTGCTCTCGAATCTCATTAGTGAATGCAAATAAGGTTCATTTCCCCTCCCTCTCTCTCTCTTTTCCACTCCGTATACATACAAATTGTTTTCTGACCGCACATTTTTATAAAAAGTTCCAGACGATGCGGCTCTTCATCTTGCTTTCGTGTCTTCTCGCGTGGGTCCTCGCAGCGCCATACATCGATCAAGAGGATGCGCTTCGCGTTTGTGAGTTTTGGGTTGTTTTGGATTTTGATCCTAATTTTGGCCGTTTTCAGTGAACGCGTACCTAGAGCAATTCGGACCGGCGGCCGAGAAGGTCTACTATGTTGCTGAGGATGATCATGGGTTAGTTGGGGCAAAGCTCTGGGGTTGGAGGTTCTGCAAAACGAATCTGGCATTTTGGAGAATCCATTTGATTATAGGATTTAATTATAACTCGAGTACGAAATGAGTGGGTTGGAGGCAGTTTAAGGATTCAGAGAATGCATAGGATCTAAGATCCATAGAACCTATAATTCATAGAAGCTAGGATCCATAAGATCTAGGTTATATAGAATCTAGGATTCATAGCACCGGGGATCCATATATTGGGCCTAGGATACATAGGATCTAGGTTCCATAGGAACTAGGAAACATAAGATCTAGGATCCATAGGATCTAGGACACATAGGGTCTAGGATCCATAGGATCTAATACTCAAAGAATCTAGAATTTATAGGATCTAGGATCTTTTTTCCGATTTTCCAAAGTTCGGTCTATCTGGAAGTTTGATATTCGCGATTCAGAATTTTCAAAATTTTGGATTTTGAGCCTCAAGATTTCCAAATTCTCCAGTTTCGGAATTGAGCTATCAGAATCTCAAAATTAAAGATTTTCTAGGATATCTAGGTTTGGGTCCCTAGGATATAGGATCTCTAGGATGTAGGATCCTTAGGATCTATGAGCCCTAGAATCTAGGATCCCAGGATCTAGAATCCCTTGGATCCAGGAATCCAGGAATCCAGGAATCCAGAAATCCAGAAATCCAGGAATCCAGGAATCCAGGAATCCAGGAAAACCAGGAATCCAGGAATCCAGGAAACTAGGAATCCAGGAAACCAGGAAACCAGGAAACCAGGAATCCAGGAATCCAGGAATCCAGGAATCCAGGAATCCAGGGATCCAGGGATCCAGGAATCCAGAAATCCAGAAATCCAGAAATCCAGAAATCCAGGAATCCAGGAATCCAGGAATCCAGGAATCCAGGAATCTAAAGAGTTTAGGATCCATGGAACCTAGGGTCCATAGTTTTCTAAAAGCAGTAAGCCCCATGTAACCCATTCTGACCCCATTTACAGTTTCAGATCGATAAAACGAGGCCTCGGTCCGCGCCCTCTTCGCTTCGGATAATGCTGCAACATCATCCTCATCCTGTTCTTCTTTCTCCTCTTTTATCTCTATTTATCTGTCAATCGCACTTTGGCTGTTCCATCAAATCCCCAATTCCGAAGAAAATCCATTCTCCTATCCTTTCTCTCTCTCTGAAAATCTCTGAAAATTTCCCCCTGAAAACGCTGCAGAAACATTGTTAAAACTGACTTTTTTTTCCGTTTCTTCCCATACTATTTCTTCTGTTGAAAAAATAAAACAGCTTCCAACGTTTCTCAGTTTTCAGTTACTTCAGTCTAAAAATTTCAGAAACCCCTGGAGCCACCAAGTCGAAAAAAAAGGAGTCGAAAAGGATAAATCAAATTCCTTAATGGTTATTCTCTTCTCCCATCCATCCATTTTTTGAAGGAAGAATGAAGACATAGTAAACAAGTTTTCATCAGATAAATTGGTTGGAAAACGGGGAATAATAGTTTTTACAACCGCTGCGGCAATTCCCAGAGCCAGTTAGGCTAATACCTTCCTCTTTTTTGAGATTCGATTCTCTTTATTACGAAAACTCGATTATGAGATGAAAATGTTTTGGGATTAAACTTCACTGAAAATTTGAGTCTGTATATCTCGATCCCTGTACAAGCTATCAAAACGTTGTCAACGAATCAAATATTTATCATAACATGAGCAATATTTTATTAGTTGATTACTTCTTGATATCTGTTACAGTAACCGAGATAAACTGAGTTAAAGTTAATAGTGGGAAGACTCTGTTCCTAAATTAATTTTTACTTTGATCCAGTTTATCTCGGTTACTGTAGCAGATATCAAAAAAATGGTCAATCAATAAAATGTTGCTGGTATTATGATAAGCATTTTGTCAATTGACCATTTTTTGATATCTTTCACAAGGACCGAGATAAATTGGCTCGAAGCAAGTATAACGTCGGAGCCTCAAAAAAATCAGCGGAGCGCACTTGCAACATCGCTTGAGAAGTTTAGGCTCGTCGGAATGGACAGCGACGTGAGAATGGGAAGATTTCGAAAACACAAACTTCAAGGCACCAGATGAAATCTGACCCGAGAATTTTTGATTCCAATAAGTTCATCATTTTCCTGGAATCGAGACTGCTAGACGTGTCAATAGTAGACGGATATTTTTCTGATGATGTCATCCGGTTTCGCATAAAGGACAGGTACTGAGATTTGGAAATTGTTTATAGGTTATGGGAATAGCACTGGGTGAGATTAAAAATAGCGAGACGTTCAGGAAAAGTTCTAAGGAGTCTGGACGTTTTTGGTAAGTTAGAAAAAAAGAAAACTGGAATAATGAGGATAAAATTGAGACTACCATTTTAATTTGTCTGAGTATCAAATGTACGCAGCCAAATTAACACGGGAAAAATTATTCTTATTTAAAATAAGTTGTAGGAATTGATTGGGACCTATTTCGAAGACTTCAATATAGCAGCCCTTCGAATCCCAAAAATGTTGAAAATTCTGAAATTCCTAAACCTCCCAAAAAAAAGCTTTAAAAACCTAAAAATCCCAAACATCTCTAAAAAATTCTAAAAAATTCTAACAATCCTAAAAGTTCCAAAAGTCCTCAAAATCCCAAGAATTATAAAACTAATTAAAGCTAAAATTTCGAAAATTCAGAATATCCTAAAAATTCCAAAAATCCCAAAAACTCTGAAATAATCTAAAAATCCCAGAAATCCTAAATATTCTAAAATTCCAGCCTCTTAAAATCCCAAACATCGCGGAAAGTTCTGAAAATTGCAAAAATCCAATATAGGTTTTCAAATAGTATCATTTTGTAGTACTCGTCGAGTTCTATGATATTTGATTTAGTTGGTTTGATAATAATGATTCTGAAAAAGGATATGCCAGGGCCCGGCAAAGGCCCGGATTACAAGTATGAATTTTTGGGTCTTTTATCATTTTTTTAGATTTATGGGATTTTCAAAATGTTTGAAATTTTTGGGATTTTTGTGATTTTCACAATTTTCCGGATTTTTGCGATTTTCGGGTTTTTCAAAAATTTGTTGGATAGTAACTATTTTTGAGATATTTAGAATTATCGGGATTTTTTAAAATTTTTAGGGTTTTTGGAACTTTTAGGGTGTTTCTGATGTTTAGCATTTTCGGGATTTTTGGGACTAAAAAAGATATGCCAGGCCCGCGAAGGCCCAGCAAACGCCCGGATTACAAGTATGCAAAATTTAGGTTTGTAAAAATAAGTTGGACATGCATTATTATTATTTTTTGGAGCTGATTGTTTCGAACTTCAATTTTCCTTGGTTCAACGGTACCCCAAAAACCCCCAAGTGCTAAAATGCTCAAAAAGCTTGTTCTGAGAAAAGTAATCCCAGAAAAGGTAACCCCAAAATAAGAAAGGTAAACATATTTTTTCCGGAATAAGTTATGAATTACTTGAAAGTGTTCCAAGTTCAAACTTTGAATGTTCATAGATCCGGAAAGTGGAGAGGAATTTTTCGAATTTCCCTTTTACTCGAATTTTGTAACTTTGGACATATCTTTAAGTAACATTTTTTCAATAATAAATTCATTTTTTAAGTTCTGAAACTAAAGAAAATTCTGTTCAACAACCCCCATCCTTCAGAAGAACAAATATATAAAACACCGAAACAAAAAATCTCAATTCCATCGTCACCCACCCGCATTTCATTTCTTTAAACCCCCATACATCATAGATGGGTCCTGGAGATAATTTTGAAAAAGCGGTGTGGTTTTAAAGAGCAGAGTTCATTGAAAACAAACATTTGCTTTCTTTTTCATTCCAGAAACAAAGTAAATATGTGCACCGGAGTTCATAGACTATTTTCCGAAATTTCACAGATTTATTTTGGGGTTAATGAACACCAGAACATATACCGTAACTGTTCAAATAGTATTTTATTATCTCGGTTCCTATCAGAGATTTTAAAAATTTGTCAACTGATAAAATGTGTGTCTCATTATCAGCAATGTTTTACTAGTTGATAAAATTTTGATATCTTTAACTAGAACCGAGCTAATTGAGCTCAAAGTTGACATTTTTCGTGGGCTCCTAAACTGTGCTAATATGTTAACCATTGTTTGCTTTTTTGTCTTATAAAGTTCAAGCTCTCGAAATAAAAAGAAAAAGATCACCATGAAAATTTAATGGGATTTTAAAAATAGATAAAACCTCTGGATTCTGTTTTCTATAGTTGTTTAAAATGTCGTAATAAAAATATGAAAATCAGGCACAAGATTTTTATAGGAACCAAGATAATTGGGCTCGAAGGTCCAATTATAAGGTCTATTAGAGCACTTACGGTACTTAGTTTAAAGGGTAATTATTAGAATTCGTAAGATCTGAAATGGATATTCAATTTGTGAAGACGTCACACCAAAAATGAAATCTTGGGTCTGAAGTCTAGCATTTTTAGAAGTTATAATAATTTTGTATGAACTAATGTAAGGTCAATAAAGTTAAAGAACTGGGGCTGCTTTATGACAAGGGGGTCCATGAGAAAAGAGGGGGCCCAAGGGAAAAAGGGGGGGGGGGTGGGGCAAGTGAAAAAATGTGGGCTATGTTAAGATTTTAATTAGTAAAATATTTAGACCTACTCACGGACGGTTCGGCCAAGGCCAAGGCCACGGCCCAAAAGCCGAGGGGCCGAACGGTTGCGGTCGTGAATGTAAGGACTAAAATTTGTTTGAAAAACATACTTGCAACATGATTTTTTGTAATGGCGGCCGGCCGACAGCCATAGACCTACAGTATACCCTCTTAAGGTCCACTCAACTTTGAACCAATTTATCTTGTTTCCTGCAAGAGATATCGACAATCTGTAAATTATAAAAATGTTGGTGCCACTACGAAAAAAATTTTATTAGCTGACAAATTTTTGATATCTCTCACAGGAACCGAGATAAATTGGCTCAATGTTGACGGCATGGACTGGGAAAGGCTCCAAACTTGTTTGTTGATATGGTCCACAAATACCCCCAGGATAAAAAAAAACGAATCTTCCAAATTTTTATTTATTTTTATTATTTATTTTTTCCAGACAAAACCCCCGCATATTAAACGGGAAATAAGCACTTCGTTCTACGGAAAGTATCAAGTTACTTTATATCTCATGCATAGTAAGTTTTTGGTTTATTGGTCCAATGAGATTTCGAAATTTGTAATTCTTCGCTAAATACAGTCAGAAGACACATTTCATTTCCACCAAGAAGCGTTTCCGTGTTTTCCGTATCTTCTAGCCGTCAAAAATCAATTCAATTCTCGATTCCAGCAAAAACACTGAAATTTTCAGCGAATTCTCTCTCCCCCACACATGAGATTTGATTCATAAGTGTTCAGCTCGAGAAATGAAGAAAAACACGTCATTCTGAAGCCAGAAGGAATCTGAATATTCTGTGTCCTCCGCCTCCCCGCGCACACACCGATCGTCTTCTTTTTACGAATTCTATTGTCATCATGATTAATCACATCTTCAGATTCCACTTCAACAAGTCGAAAGGGATTCAGAATCATCATTCTTATTCTATCCCTCTCATCATCCCTCTCTCTTCCAGCAAATGTCACGTTGGCAGAAGCAGAAGCAGCAGAAGCAGCAGCAAGAAGGCGTAACGTATTGTGTGTATGTGCCGCCCCATAAAGCTCCGCCCACTTTTCCGGCGACGACACCTTTTGGGAAGATTTGCATGCCATTCTATTGCTGGTCGATGGGGGCCACCACAACTACTCGATCCGGGTGTAACATGTGGATCTCAGCCGTGCTATTGTTGATTGCGTTTTCTACAGTTGCAGATTCTATGTGTGAGTTTTATGGGGTTAAGATGGTCTTTGGCTGATTGTCTTCTCTGAAGTAACCATTGTTTTAAAAGCGCACATAGTCAAAGATACCAGCCGAAATTCTGAAAATACCGTCCCTTTGGATACCGTAACCCCGCCCCTTTTTCTAATACGTAGAACGCCGCATATCTGTTATAAGAACCGAGATGATTGAGCTACGCGGTCGCACCCTACTGACCGACTGAAGAACCGCACCAGTGACTTTTCTTTGGGCTCAATTATCTCGGCTCCTATAAGAGATATCAAAATATAGTCCAGTGTTAGAATGTTTATCATAACATCAGCAATATTTTATCAGTTGACAGATTTTTTATATCTCTTATAGGGACTGAGATAATTGAGCTCAAAGAGCAGGTATACTGTGGTACCTCATTTAGCGAAATTTTCTCTCATGAGATTTTTGTAAGCATTTCTATACCTACCATTATTTATAGAATATTTATAAGGAACAATATTTTATTCATTTCTGTTATCAGCATATCAGAATGCTGATCACTACATAACTTTCAAAGATTCTTTGACCAGAACGGCTCTTGTTATTTTCCTAGCTTTAATTTTAATATTATTCAATTTTCTCTGGAAATAAAACATGGCAAATTATTATTTTCTGATCAATCAGAATGACGAAACTCTGAAATTATAGATCTTTTTCATATTTTGACTTTTGGCAACTTTGCAAATCAGAACAAATCAAATCAAGTACAAAAAGTAACACGAACCTAAACAACAATTTTCGAAAGTGACGAATTTGATTTTTATGAATTATTAGGTTATGAAATAACATGAAAAATTGAATAAAGAGCGACACAAAATATGATAATCACATCATGTTACAGAATTATAAATATAAAACATTTTAAGAGAATGTTGTTGCCGTAAACACTATAATAAAAGGCCACCCAAATTTCCGCACATGTATCTCATTTTCTGTAAAAGATATCAAAAAGTAATCAACTGGTAAATTATTTGGCATAATGTCAGCAACATTTTATTAGTTGACAGACTTTTGATATCTTTTACAGGAATCGAGATATGTGGGCTCAAAGTTTACGGTAGCAATAAATTATTTAAACAATTTGGTTATTTAACAAAACTTCGAAATGTGTTTCAGAATTCACAGAATTCGTTTGAATCAATAACATCGAAATTTTTCAGCCATTCCACTGCGCGAGGTGATTCTCCAATGGTCGGATAATATGGCTCCAGCGGAAGTGCTCTCCAGTGGTTATCAACGGTTATCCAGATCTTTTAACATGGGTCCAGACGTTGTGTAAGTGGTTTTTTAGAGTTGCCTGTCATTTTCAGAAGTTCCTTTTCTCTTAATATTTTCGAGGAGCTAAACAAGTGGGTGGCTCATTCTTTAATTTTTTCTAAGACTGTTCAAATCGTTGCCGCGGCCGGCCGTTCGGCCGTTAGGCCGCCATATACCTATCCCAGAAGTACTTATAAAATGCTGGCCGTGACACATCCTTGGCTCTCAAAAGTCTAGAAAAAAATTCCAAAAGAGAAATCCAAAATTTCGTATGCAACAACGTATGAGTGATTTTTGGAGATAATAGAAAATCATACTTGTATTAGGGTGGGCTTTTTTTTGGACTTTTGCCCTAGCCCTAGCCCTAGCCCTAGCCCTAGCCCTAGCCCAAGCCCTAGCCCTAGCCCTAGCCCTAGCCCTAGCCCTAGCCCTAGCCCTAGCCCTAGCCCTAGCCCTAGCGCTAGCCCTAGCCCAAGCCCTAGCCCTAGCCCTAGCCCTAGCCCTAGCCCTAGCCCAAGCCCTAGCCCTAGCCCTAGCCCGGCCCAAGCCCGGCCGAAGCCCGGCCCAAGCATATTATTTTACGCTTTTTTAAAAATCGCAATTTCCAGACATGAGAAGCCACGACCTCTCCGATTCGGATAACTGATTGCTGATGTGACGCTGACACGTTGAGAGGAGAAGCTTCAACCTATTTTTTGTTCTTTTAAAAATTTAATTTTCAAATGATAAGAAGAGAACAGTTGCCTGAATAAAGTGATTGCTCAGTCGGTTTTTCAGTGTTCTTAGCTTTGTCATTCTTTGCTCTTAACTCCCGCTCATAGCTTTTGAATATCCCCTTTCAACGACCCAAAGTGAGATGAACTTTCAAATGGGTCAGCACAGCTCTAGCTCAAAAAGAAGAATTTGTTTACTGACTGCACCAATACATCGTCATATTGAATAGGACTTATGATGATGATGAGAAGTTTGGGTTCCATGTACACGTCACGAGTACATTTTGCAAGAGTTGAAATCTTCCACCCTCTACCCACCCGATTCTTCTCTTTCATAAGTTTGATGAATTTTTTATGAGGCCGGCGATATGAGAGGCGATCTTATGAGAGGCGATCTAAATTGCAGAAAAGTGTTGTTTTCAGTCTTTTGGTACACAAGATTATTGGGGTTTAATTGAATGAATGGAGAACGGACGGGAAAATTTGAAATGAGGCTCGAGCTTTGTTATTCAGCTCTGGGTAAAATTGTAAAGTAAAATGTTCTTCCATTGTAATCAGTTGGAAATTAGAAGAAAAAACTTTAGGAAAGGTGAAATATCGTTTTTTGGATTTGCCGTAAAACCTACTAGAATAAAACGTCCCCTGACTTTTAACTTTGCGATAATTCATCTCGCTTCCTGTGAGAGATATCCAAAAGTTATCAACTGATATATTACTTATTTTAATATCACAAACATTTCATTAGTTGACTCATTTTTGATATCTTGAGCAGGAATCGAGATTATTGGCAAAAAAGAAAAGAATAATTAAAAATAATTGAACCAAAAAAACTAGGTGAATTGGTATAGTAACCCATGACACTGGATGGCCCATTGACCTCAGGAAAAAATATAAGAAGAGGAAATTGGAGGGAAGAATCAGTTCTCCCCTTCTCCTGGGTCCTGGGTCCTGGGTCCTGGGTCCTGGGTCCTGGGTCCTGGGTCCTGGGTCCTGGGTCCTGGGTCCTGGGTCCTGGGTCCTGGGTCCTGGGTCCTGGGTCCTGGGTCCTGGGTCCTGGGTCCTGGGTCCTGGGTCCTGGGTCCTGGGTCCTGGGTCCTGGGTCCTGGGTCCTGGGTCCTGGGTCCTGGGTCCTGGGTCCTGGGTCCTGCTGGGTCCTGGGTCCTGGGTCCTGGGTCCTGGGTCCTGGGATCTTAACATATTTGAAATTGATTTTAAAGGAGGCGAGACAGCAAAAATTTCGGGGGCAGTTCGGGGGACGAAATCGGGCCGCGCTTATGTAGACCATCGGTCGTCAGGCGCCTTCGCGCCCCCGTAGCTCAGCCGGTAGCGGCGCTGTACCCCTGAGCTGCCTGTCATGAGTTCAACCCCTCATGGGGGTTCTCTATGCAAAATATCAGGAAAACTTTTTTTTTGGTGTCTGGCCTCGTTTAATAAACTATGAAATATTTTTTGCCTCTTTGCGAAATAAACTTACTTTTAGAAATTCAAAATTGACCATTGAAACTAAAAGTAAGTGAAATCAATTAACTTTTCGAATGGACGTCCTGAATTTAAATTGCGGAATTCATTTTAAATTTCAAGATTTTCAGTCCCCTTTCATGAGACAAAACGTGGAATGAGAATTGAATTAACGTCTCAAGCGACTTGTTACCATAACACTGTCATATAATATTTTGATGCTGCTCTTTCATCCCGCTCTTTTCTTCTTTTTTTCAAAGATTCTTTTATATTTTTTTTGTTGCTGATCATAGGCCTGACCGTTTTGCATATACATATATAAATTGAGTGCTGTGCAAACTGATAAGCTTTAAGTGAGTCATTTCTGGAATAGTTGGAAACGAGTTGAAGTTTCTTATGAACAAGTCTTTTCGTATTTTTCTAATTCTATTTGCTACTTTTCTAATTCTTTTCAATGTTTTCTATAGTGAAAACTGCTTCAAATTTTCTGGAAAGTTCTCAAAGATTCCCAAAAATTATTTGATTGATGGCATGGATAGATTCAAATGGTATTTTATGAAATTTAATGATTCTGTAAGATTTTAATTTTAATTAACTTTTAGAATACAGCTTTACAGTTAAAAACCGCAGAAAAGGTCAGCACACTACATGCCTATGAATTTGAACACGAGATTACGGTAACAGTAACCTCGTGGAATTTCACAGGGTAACCCATAAAACGGCTTCAATATGGAATATAGAAACTTCAGCTACCGAGTTTTTTGCCGTTATCTAGACACGGACGGTGCAGAAATTGGTAACCCTTATGAGAGTTTCGCATATCCAGAATATATTGTACATTGTCCAAAACGAGCAGGAACTCAAAAAATTGGTTTAAGTGTGACTCAAAATGGAGAATTTCTACCATTACCTCTAGTAGATAGAATTCTGAAAAGTGAGTGATGGCCTAGAATAGTAATCCATAGATTACTTCAGAACCAAAGTATGAGCTATCAATGTGTGTGGCTACAATATACGGGGAGGAGCCGAAATGGTTGATGTTCATCGAAATGATAGAACACTACAAACTACAAGGTGTTCAACACTTCTACCTGCATATTCATAAAGCATTGGAGTATGATTTGAAAGTGATAAATGATTATGCAAGAACTGGTGAAGTGGAAATTCATTATCTCCTGGAAAGAGATAAGCGAACTGATAATCACTGGCATATGGTCAACATAGCGGTAATCATTCAAGCCTTTGGTTTTTGGAAATGAATATCAACTTCCAGGACTGCCTAATTTGGTCCCGCGGAGAATCCAAATGGACCATTTTCGCAGATCTGGATGAGCGAATTCTGATGACAGAGTATCCGGGAACAATTCTAGATTATATCAAAAAGGTGGAGGGTCCGAGGATAGGAAGTTTGAGATTTCGACAGCAGTGGGTGCTGAAAACCGAATTGATGCCAAAGAGATTTGAATCTAAGGATAAGGTAAGTAAATTCAAAATCTGCTGAATGAAAACCTTATTATGAAAAAATTCAGAATCTGTTAGACAAAATACAAATTTCAGCTTATAGAATGGATGCCTACTCATCGGTGGCACAACTCGTCCGCGGTTGGACCACGGGGGCATACTGCAAAATGTATTGTGGATACATCAAAGGTGTTTATAATGTTCATTCATTATGTAACGGAATTTTTTCCTGGAGGAGATTATGTCGAAGTCGATGTTGGACCAGAGAAAGGGATCGTTAGGTTTGTAGATTTTCTTAGATCTAGAAACAGTAGTAGTTGTTTTACAGGCGCATATAGTAAAATATACCAACTTGAATTCTAAAAATACCGTACCACCTATGAGAAACGCCTCCCCTATATTTAAGCTCAATTATCTCGGTTCCCATAAAAGCTATCAAAAAGTAATCAACTGATAAATTGTTTATCATAATATCAAGAATATTTTACCAGTTGAACACTTTTTGCTATCTTTTACAGGAACTGAGATAAATTGTTTCAAAGTTAAAAGTTTGGAAAGTTGCAGACACTATCGAGATCAATCTCTGGGAAATTGGGGACAGAAATGGTTAAAGGAGACACTGGAATTCGGGTCGTTGAGAAATACGGACTATCCATCGAAATATCTCAAAAATCTGACAGAGAATGTGATTCGGAGAGCTACTTATGTCTATGATAACGAACTTGATTAATCTCATAATTTTTTTTCCTTTTTTTCATGAAAAATTGCAAATCAAAGTTCAGTAACAACTACACTAACTGATAACGATAGTTGTCGTAAAATGTCCGAATGTTCTGCAAAACAAACAAAGGCATTTTCGAGTCAAAGTTCTCAAGGACTCAAAATAGAAAACTATAAACGGGATAAGAATGATTTCATAAATCATTTCCTGGCCGTAAACCCGCTAATAGAATGAACCCCTAACTTTAAGCTCATATATCTCACTTCCTGTAGGAGATATCGAAAAGCAATTAACTAACAAAATGTTTATCATAATATCAGCAACATTTTGTCAGTTGACCACTTTTTGATATCTTTCACAGAAACCGAGATAAATTGCCGCAATGTTAAAGTCAGGGGGTGGGGGTACTACTTACTCTCTTTCCGTGCTCCTCTTTTAGACCTCTTCAATTGTTTATCAACGAAATTTTTGACCAAACTACACCGTTGCTCTGTATTCCGATAAAAAATAATAATCTAGCGAAATTTGACTTGACTACTTGTCTTTTTTGGAACCCGAATTTTACTATTTCCTCAATTTCCAAATGAATAGATACTTCCAAATCGCAGCAATATTCATTTTATCATTTTTATTCTTCGACTTATTTCTAAACAATGCATCTTTCTATTCAAAAGTACAGTATCCATGTTCCACAACAGTAGAAAAGTCTAGAAATGAGGAAATTGGCCAGCAAACTACTGATAACCTGACTACTGTAAAGCCAACAGAAGAGTATAAAATTGATGGAGTGGACAGGTTTCATTGGTATTTGAAGAAAACTGCAGAGGCCAAGGTGAGCTTTCTTTTTTAGCACATTTTTGATATCTTGCACATAATGGACATAATTGAGCTCAAATTTGACAGTGCGTCTATTACAGGATAGTTCAAGTCAGAATCAAATGAAATCTTTCAGATTGCCACCGCTCCCAACATTAGCACATTGTATGCTTATGAATTTGAACACGAGATAACAGTAACATTAACTTCCTGGAACATGATAAGGTTAGTTTGAAACAGAGATTTTTCAAATGAAAAATTTGGTTTCAACCAAAGAGGTACCTTGCGGTCCCATTGATCATAAGAGCAGTCCCAACATGACGACCGCGGTCCTATCAATCTTGCCCCGGTCCCATCCATCACGTAGCTTGAAAAGAATCTTATATGATGGGACCCTGGTCGAAAAGATAGAACCGAAGCTCTTATGGACCTATCTTCTGTGATAGACCCATAAATTCTACTTTCAGATTACGAGTATACTGTCGTTACCTTGACAAGAACGGGAACGAAATTGGTACCCCTTATGAGAGTTTCACATATCCAGAATATATTGTAAACTGTCCAAAAAGGAAAGGAACTCAGAAAATTGGTTTAAGTGTGACTCAAAATGGAGAATTTGTACCATTACCTCTAGTAGATAGAATGCTGAAAAGTGAGTGATGGCCTAGAATAATAATCCATAGATTACTTCAGAACCAAAGTATGAGCTATCAATGTGTGTGGCTACAATCTACGGGGAGGAGCCTAAATGGTTGTTGTTTATAGAAATGGTGGAGCATTTTAAATTACAGGTGGGTCTTGAAATAATGGAATTTTTGACCTGAATAAGTTTCAGGGTGTCCAACATTTCTATCTGCACATTCATCATGCGTCAAATTACGATTTAAAAATGATAAATGATTATGTGAGAACTGGTGAAGTGGAAATTCATTATCTCCTGGAAAGAGATAAGCGAACTGATAATCACTGGCATATGGTCAACATAGCGGTAATCATTCAAGCCTTTGGTTTTTGGAAATGAATATCAACTTCCAGGACTGCCTAATTTGGTCCCGTGGAGAATCCAAATGGACCATTTTCGCCGACTTGGACGAGCGAATTCTGATGACAGAGTATCCGGGAACAATTCTGGATTATATGAGAGAAATTCGAAATGAGTCAATTGGAGGGGTTCAGTTTCGACAGCAATGGGTGCTGAAAACAGAATTGATGCCAGAGAAGTATGAATCGGGTTCTCAGGTGAAGTTCTTCTATAGGGCTATCAGCATTGAACATGGAATTTCTGATAAACTGCGGCCGGTCCTGTGGCCGCGGCCGCGGCCTCGGCCGTCCGTCGTTCAAAAAAAAAAAAATTAAGGCACAGCTATGGGATTCCAACCAAAATGTTGATTTTTCTTTCTGAATTTGAGCAGATTGTTTTGGCAACTGATTTCGAAAATATGAATGTTGGAAAAAGAATGGAAACATGTAGAAAAATTCAAAATTTACAAATTATGACTGATATTCAATTGTCTCCTAGTGTTCCCTTGAGTCCCAAAAATAATTGTTTTTCATGTTAGTTACTCCCGTCTGAAAAATTACTATTTTTAACCGATTTTCCATGTTCTAGTGAGCATTTTCATTTCGAATGAAGTTTCCCTCGGCCCCGCACGTCCGGCCGGCCGTCATTTTCGACAGCCTTGCCTATGATTACACCACCAGCATGTCTTCAATTCCATTGTATTTCTAGATTGACACATGGATGCCCACCCATCGATTTCATAACTCTACGGGAATCGGTCCAGTCGGGCACACTGCAAAATGTATTGTGGACACTTCAAAAGTTTTCATTATGTGGGTCCATAGTGTTACCGAATTCTTCCCTGGAAAAGGATACCATCTACACGAATTGGCCCCCGAGGAGGGGTTGGTCAGGTGATTGCACTTTTTATTGGAGTAGAAATATGATGCTATGTTTCAGACACTATCGAGACCAAACTCTGGGAAAATGGGGACAGAAATGGTTGAATTCCACACTCAAGTTTGGTCCATTACGAATGACGGATTATCCCAAAAAGTATTTGGGGAAATTGACGACAAATGTGAAGAGAAGGGCAAGATATGTTTATGGAAATCGATTTGATTGAATTTTGAAATTGTGGATCCTGTTTCATTAATGTTTTAGGTACCATTTATGTTTTTGAAAGATAAAAATTTATTATAAAAATCATAATCAAAGAAAGAAATGTAACGGAATGGGTGCAACCCGTGAGCAATTCAATCGGAAAGTTTAGTTGGGGAATTTTGGAGAAACAGTAAATTGGAATGTAAAAAACCTAGGCAGCTGTAATTGGTTCTATTGGAAATGGGGAAGGGAGCGAAAACTGTAGTGCAAGATTCTGACGGCTCATCGTGATGCGTCGGGATCTGAAGTCATCGGTGACTTTCGATTCGATGCCAGGGCACAGGAGTAGGGAAAGGAGCGAGGCTTCAGATTGAGCGGGATCTAAAAGAAGGCCGAAATCCCAGTCGATTTTTGAAGACGGTGGTTGGGATGTGGTGGCTTGCAAGGATCTCATGGTCATCATCTTGATGAGCTGCGAACTGTTGGAGTTAAATTATGTTCTTTTGCGAAATTCACTGGATGGTATTGTTCTCATAATTCATCGTCATGAAACCCGTTTTCATTGTCATGAAACCCGTTGCGTAGCTTGTTTATGATCATAAACGCTTACAGCGAAACCCTTGCAATAAAATTTTGTTGCAGAAAAAACCTATCTCTCGGGCAAACCTTACTTTTTCCTTTGGAAAGCCTGCCTTTTAGAAATTTTGAAACTGTTTGAGACTTGCTATCAAAAGAAATTGGTTTATAAAAATAGCAAGACCCCCCAATTTATTTTTCATGCTTCTGAAAATTATCACAGCTTAGTAAAACATTTTCAGATGAACAATTATTTCCAATTAGGCTTAATAATTATCGGTTCTTTCCTATTTTTTGATGTGTTCCTAAACGATGGTTCAATCTCTTCAAGAGTCCAATATTCTCATTTGCCCCTCCCATCAGGAAACACTGTCTTAGTCGATTTATCGTCTGAAATCGTTAATCAAACTACTGAAAAGGCGAATGCAGTCGAAGGATATGAAATCGAAGGAGAAGATAGATTCAAATGGTATCTGAAGAGAACTGCTAGCAATGTGGTAGGTTTTCTTTTTCAAAGCTAACTCAAAAATACGCTCCGTAGATAGGCCCTTCTATTACAGGATAGTTCGAATCAGAATCAAACCAAACTTTCAGATTGCCACCGCTCCAAATATCACCACGTTGTATGCCTATGAATTTGACCACGAGATCACAGTAACAACAACATCATGGAAAATGATACGGTAAGTTTTGTTTTTTCTTTTTTTAATGTTGACTGATTTTTTTTAGACGGCGAGTATACTGTCGTTACCTTGACAAGAACGGGAACGAAATTGGTACCCCTTATGAGAGTTTCACATATCCAGAATATATTGTAAACTGTCCAAAAAGGAAAGGAACTCAGAAAATTGGTTTAAGTGTGACTCAAAATGGAGAATTTGTACCATTACCTCTAGTAGATAGAATGCTGAAAAGTGAGTGATGGCCTAGAATAATAATCCATAGATTACTTCAGAACCAAAGTATGAGCTATCAATGTGTGTGGCTACAATCTACGGGGAGGAGCCTAAATGGTTGTTGTTTATAGAAATGGTGGAGCATTTTAAATTACAGGTGGGTCTTGAAATAATGGAATTTTTGACCTGAATAAGTTTCAGGGTGTCCAACATTTCTATCTGCACATTCATCATGCGTCAAATTACGATTTAAAAATGATAAATGATTATGTGAGAACTGGTGAAGTGGAAATTCATTATCTCCTGGAAAGAGATAAGCGAACTGATAATCACTGGCATATGGTCAACATAGCGGTAATCATTCAAGCCTTTGGTTTTTGGAAATGAATATCAACTTCCAGGACTGCCTAATTTGGTCCCGTGGAGAATCCAAATGGACCATTTTCGCCGACTTGGACGAGCGAATTCTGATGACAGAGTATCCGGGAACAATTCTGGATTATATGAGAGAAATTCGAAATGAGTCAATTGGAGGGGTTCAGTTTCGACAGCAATGGGTGCTGAAAACAGAATTGATGCCAGAGAAGTATGAATCGGGTTCTCAGGTGAAGTTCTTTTATAGGGTTATCAGCTTTGAACATGGAATTTCTGACAAACTGCGGCCGGTCCTGTGGCCGCGGCCTCGGCCGTCCGTCGTTCAAAAAAAAAATTAAGGCACAGCTATGGGATTCCAACCAAAATGTTGATTTTTCTTTCTGAATTTGAGAAGATTGTTTTGGCAACTAATTTCGAAAATATGAATGTTGGAAAAAGAATGGAAACATGTAGAAAAATTCAAAATTTACAAATTATGACTGTTTCAGGACTGTCTAATTTGGTCTCGCGGAAAATCCAAATGGATATTTTCGCAGATTTGGATGGGCGAATTCTGATGACAGAGTATCCAGGAACAATTCTGGATTATATGAGAGAAATTCGAAATGAGTCAACCGTTCGTCCTTTCTGAAATATGCTCAAGCAACGAGTAACTTCTAGGGACGATAGACTGCCGCATCCTAGAAGCACCCACACCAAAAAGCCACCGCCCTGTTTTTGACAGCCATGCCACTTAGTCTACTTTAACCCTAAAAAACAACACCACCATTTTACATCATCCCTCGAACCCCCATTCCAACCCCACCCTAATCAGTCATAGCCCTCTTTTCCCATGATTACACCACCAGCCTGTCATCAATTCCATTGTAATTCCAGATTGACGCGTGGATGCCCACCCATCGATTTCATAACTCTACCGGAATAGGCCCAATCGGTCACACTGCCACAAATATCATTGACACTTCCTAAACCTCGGGTCGGGCCGGGTCGACCCTGGCTTGGCCCGGACCGGTCTGCTTGCTGTGGAGTCGAATATGATACTTAGTGTTTCAGACACTATCGAGACCAAAATCTTGGAAAGTGGGGGAAGATCTGGTTGAATTCTACACTCAAGTTTGGTCCATTACGAATGACGGATTATCCCAAAAAGTATTTGGGGAAATTGACGACAAATGTGAAGAGAAGGGCAAGATATGTTTATGGAAATCGATTTGATTGAATTTTGAAATTGTGGATCCTGTTTCATTAATGTTTTAGGTACCAATTATGTTTTTGAAAAATAAAAATTTATTATAAAAATCATAATCAAAGAAAGAAATGTAACGGAATGGGTGCAACCCGTGAGCAATTCAATCGGAAAGTTTAGTTGGGGAATTTTGGAGAAACAGTAAATTGGAATGTAAAAAACCTAGGCAGCTGTAATTGGTTCTATTGGAAATGGGGAAGGGAGCGAAAACTGTAGTGCAAGATTCTGACGGCTCATCGTGATGCGTCGGGATCTGAAGTCATCGGTGACTTTCGATTCGATGCCAGGGCACAGGAGTAGGGAAAGGAGCGAGGCTTCAGATTGAGCGGGATCTAAAAGAAGGCCGAAATCCCAGTCGATTTTTGAAGACGGTGGTTGGGATGTGGTGGCTTGCAAGGATCTCATGGTCATCATCTTGATGCCTTCTACAGTAATCCGGCTTGCACATCCATTTCTCAGTTGAATCGTCCGCGGAACATTCGAATTTGTAGCCCAGTTTATTAGTGTCTGATCCGTGAGCTCATTCAAGAAGCATGGATACCTCGATTGGATTTGTAGTGTATCTAGATACGGTAACGACATCAGAACCTGCAAAATTTGAAATTAGCAAAACATTAAGGCTGTGCAAGTCGGGGCCGGCCGTGACCACCGTACCCTACCGACCCCTGAAGTACCTTATTCAAAATTCTGCCCCCGGCTGTTGGAAAAAAAATCTTCTTATCTTACCTTGTCAGAAATAAGAGACGGATCGAATGTGCAAAAATCAATGTAGAGATGTTTGACGGTCATTCGAGCCAACAAGTCGGTGAACTGTGTCCATGAGAGACGGATGTGACATAGGGACAGCGAGATGGTGGTGACATGTCTGCAATAGGGGAAGGATAAGTTGACACGTGTCAAAAAGTCGAAAAAAAGAATAATATTTCAGTCAGTCAGTTTCTTCTCATACACACGGGGACGGCACACTCTTGTTTGACATTTTCGACATTTTGATGTGTGTGTGTGTGTCTCTGTCTAAGTTGTCCAATGGAAAAGAAGGGGGGAGAAAAAGAAATAATGACAGTTAATACCGCTACTTTATGACACTATATTTACAGTATTACTTCTTTTTTTTTGTTTGGGATTTTTGGGACCAAAATTTTAGACCAAAAATACCAAGTGATGGCCCTTGCCCAGGCAATTGATGTCATAATTGGTCATTAGCGTGTCACCGAGGTATGGTTATACGTCCGGTACTAGTACACTAGATAAGATCCCTACCTCAATCCATCCTTCTTCATTGTCAACATCCTGTAGAAAGCGTCATCAATCGTGAGACCGTCGAACGACAATTTTTCATCCAGCTCGACGCTTCGTAGGTTTTCTTGAACGAATTTGTTTGCCGAAGTTGAGCAAGATGGATCTTCCAGACGTTCGGTTCTCTTGACACCTCGATCTCTTGTCATGGTTACAACGATTCTTCGTTTAGGAGCTGTGGAGGAGGGTCCCAGTCGGAGACGTCCGATTTTAGTGGGGCAAGTGTTGGCAATGCGGGATTCAACGCTGTAAAAAAAAGTATGAGAGATTTTCAGATAGTTTCGTCTTTTTTGACACACCGTACACACTCTGATAGAAGGTCACACTATATTTGTACTTTGAGCCAATTTATCTTGGTTCGTGTGAAAGATATCAAAAATTTGTCAACTGATGAAATGTTTATCATCATATTACCAATGTTTTATTAGTTAATATCTTTTTGATATCTTGCCCAGAAAATGAGATACACGGGCTCAAAGTCGGAGGGGTATTAGAGTGTTGACGGTATCTCATAACCGTCAGCTTTGAGCTAACTTTTCTCGGTTCCAGTAATAGATATCAAAAATTTGTCAACTGGTGAAATGCTTATCATAATATCAGCAACATTTTGTTAGTTGACCACTTTTTGATTTCTTTCACAGGGACCGAGATAATTGAGCTCGAAATGCACATTAAGCGTGGGCTTCTATTGCCGCTATTCTAGCTCCAAACAAAAAATGCAACTCACCAAAACTCCTTAACATGCGGTTTTCCCAAATTGAACGTGTTTATAAGCTGATTGAACCTCTTGTTGAGACGCTTCGTTCGGCTGACGTCCGTCGGGGAAGCGGTGTTCAGAAGACGGATCAGAATATCATCTGGCATATCGTTCAGGGTCATGGTGAAGGTCTGGAAAATGCCAAATTTAGAGAGCGGAAGGTTTGAAAGACTAGTTGAGAACAAAAAAAGTACGCAATTTTCAAAATAGAACATTAGAGCAAATGAATGTTGTGGATCCACTGGATCTTCTAGACTCCGCCCCCTTTCTTCCCTCTACACCTCTGCGTCTCAATTTGCCACCTTCCCGATCATACAGGAAATGGGGAGAGACGACCTAGGTGATGAACTCAGAAACTTGACGATAGTGTCACAATTAGCATGTCTTCTAAAGAATGAAAAAACTAAACGTCACTGAAAGAAAAATGGACGGGCACTTAAATACGGTCTGAAATTGGCAGGTCTCCTAGAACACAAATCCTTCAAAAACAGCTGGTTTGAGTGGCGTTGTACTTGTTGATGGTAGTGGGCATGCAAATGACAATCCGCTTATCAATTTTTGGGTTTTAATTGATGCAAATGATCAGAAAGGTGCCAATTAGTCTGGTGTCGCTTTTCGCATTTTAAGGAACTATGGGGGAAATTGGGTGTCAATTAGCATTCGAAGTTGTTTGTATAGACTGGTATAAGAGGAGGAGATGATGGCATAGTAAGATTTGAGAGGGAAAATTGGAACAGAAATGTATGGAAAGTGAGATTAGAGATTGGGATCGACGGGGTTTTTTTGTTGTTGAAATAGCAGAAATTTTAATTAAATAGCGGATTAGAGGGGAATATGAGATTTTAGCTTTTTGATTTTATTGTTTAAGGTATGTTCCAGAAGAAAAATATAGGTTTTGAGATTCTTCAAAAACAAGAACTATTTTACCTAAAATTCCATAATTAAATAATTACAGGTTTTTGAAAATCTAGAAAATAATTATCCCTAGAAAAAAAAAAAGGAATTTTACCCTATTTGCTCACATAGAAGCCCACCCCATGCGTACAATCCGATGCTCAAAGTTTGAGCTCAATTATCTCGGTTCCTATGAGAGATATCAAAAATCTATCAACTGATAAAATATTGGTGATATTATGATAAATAATTTATTAGTTGACAGCTTTTTGATATCTCTTATAGGAACCGAGATAAATGAATTCAAAGTGTACGTATAGGGTGAGCGGTTTCTATTTTCTATTAGAGCAGTTTCAGTGATTTTTGTCGTTTACGGGATTTTGAAACTCTTCAAATTATGAAACGTAAAAAGTTCAAAAAATTGAGGTTACCGAAAATCCCATAATTACGGAAAAGAACATTTGTAGATCCTAGGAAAGCTGTAATTTTAGCAGAAGGGCTCAAATTTCAGCTGCAGGGAGTCTGCAATTTTAAAGATATACTGCTAGGAAGTTCAGAAATTTTGAGTTTCTTTTAATACAAAAAAGTAGGAATCAAACTTTTGGGTTTTTTCAAACCTCTAATAGAAGTGCCTCTGACTGTCAAACTTGACCAAAAATTACCGTAAGACCTGTAATAGAAGGATCCCTTAAATTACAACTTTGAGCCAGTTTATCTAGGTTTCTGTAAGAGGTATCCAAAAGTGATCAACTGACAAAATGTTTACACAATACCAGTAATAATTTATCGGTTGACAGATTTTCAATATCTTTCACAGAAAATCAAAAAAATTGACTTGAAGTTAGGGGCCCATTGTTCCCAATTTTTCTAATTACAGCTTACCCAAACCGTCAACTTTAAACTCAATTATCTCGGTTCTTGTAAGAGATATCAAAATTTTGTCAACTGATAAATTATTTATAGTAATATCAGAAACGATTGATCAGTTGACCACTTTTCAATAACTTTTACAGGATCCGAGATAAAATGGCTCAAAGTTAGGATCCCCTCTACCCTATTTCCGCTAATAGAAGCCCACCCAAACCCTCAACTTCAAGCTCTATTATCTGGATTTCTGTAAATGATATCAAAAAGATGTTAACTAATAAATTGTTTATCATAAAATCACCAATATTTTATCAGTTGACTAAATTTTGATATCTCTTATAAAAACTGAGATAATTGAGCTCAAAGTGCACGTATAGGCGATTTCGACGTTCAAGCAGAATACGCGGTACTATGACTTCACTGGAAAAAAACACAGAAAATCCAGTACTTCTAGAGTCTAGAAGCTCGCAATATCTGAGTTCGGTGGCTCACACTGCCGTCCTTCGTTTGTCAATTTGTCAATCTACTTCAACCTCGGGACTTCTTCTTCTTCTTCTTTCTCCGAAGAGGAAGAGTGATTGAAGGAGTGGTAGTTGGAGCACCACACAGCTCCCGCCCAGGCACAAAACAAAAGGCGAATAAAGAGATTTACATTTCAATCATTTGAACGAGTGGGACAGGTCGCCCATCTACCTTTGGAGTGACAAGATCTGTCAATTTTTTTGGAAAGCTGGAGAGCTTGAGTTTCAGAATAATTGAAAAATAAAAGTAGTGACGGGAGGGTAGGGGAAGAAGAAGAAGTACTTGAAAGTTTTGAATGACACACAAAGATAAATTTGAATGATGGGGGGAGCGGAGCAGTTATCCGACACATAGCTGTCAAAAAACTAGAAGAAGAGGGCTAAGATCTGGATGGATGATCTTCTGGAAACGTTTACAGGATTTTGATGGATCCGTGGACCTATCAAGAAGGGTCAGGAATTGGAGGGAACTCGGACTCCAAAAAAAGGGTTTTTCAGAAATTTAGAAATTCGGAAATTCAGGAATTCAGAAATTAAGAATATCCAAAAAATTCAGAAATTCAGAAATTCGGAAATTCAGAAATTCGGAAATTCAAAAATTCAGAAATTAAGAAATTCGGAAATTCGGAAATTCAGGAATTCAGAAATTCAGAAATTCAGAAATTCAGAAATTCAGAAATACGGAAGTTCAGAAATTCAGAAATACGGAAGTTCGGTACTTCAGGATTCCAGGAACTCAGGAATTCAGGAATTCAGAAATTAAGAAATTCAGAAATTCAGAAATTCAGAAATTCAGACTTACGGAAGTTCAGAAATACGGAAGTTCAGAAATTCGGAAATTCAGGAATTCAGAAATTCAGAAATTCAGAAATTCAGAAATTCAGAAATTCAGAAATTCAGAAATTCAAAAATTCAGAAATTCAGAAATTCAGAAATTCGGAAATTCAAAAATTCAGAGATTCAGAAATTCGGAAATTCAGGAATTCAGAAATTCAGGAATTCAGAAATTCAGAAATACGGAAGTTCAGAAATACGGAAGTTCAGAAATTCGGAAATTCAGAAATTCAGAAATTCAGAAATTCGGAAATTCAAAAATTCAGAGATTCAGAAATTCGGAAATTCAGGAATTCAGAAATTCAGGAATTCAGAAATTCAGAAATACGGAAGTTCAGAAATACGGAAGTTCAGAAATTCGGAAATTCAGAAATTCAGAAATTCAGAAATTCGGAAATTCAGGAATTCAGAAATTCAGGAATTTAGAAATTCAGAAATACGGAAGTTCGGTACTTCAGGAGTCCAGAAACTCAGGAATTCAGGAATTCAGAAATTAAGAAATTCCAGTTATATAGACAATTTGGTGGAATCGAATTTTGAAAATGAGACCCCCCCCCTTTTGAAATTCCAAAAAGCACCTTGGACCGAATAAGCCCCCTAGGGAAATCATCTAACCAAGAGTACCTATCAAAATGCGTCAGAATAAATGTGCTTCTCCTTTCTGCCTTCAGAGGTGTTTCTCACAATTTTCAGGAGACGTCGTGGGACGGACGGGGGCACGGACTGTCAATCTCCGTCAGCACTTCATCCATCTCGACGCTAATATAACTGTCGCCGCCAATCGACGTCTCTCTTCTGTCTCTCCTCTGTGCGCCCCGCGCAGAAGGATCCCGGGGTTGTCTCTGCGTCTCTCAATCTCGCATACTGCCTCTCTTCGACTGACTTTTAGCTGTCGAGAGGGCTTGTCACTCATAATTCGCACCGTTGGAGGGGTCCTGCGCATACTTGTCTTGTCGCCCCCCGAATCAGGAGCTCATGATTGCCCCCAAAAAGTTAGGTATCAAAGATAAAAGTGAGACCTTGTATTCTGTTTTTTTCTGGTTGATTAGACCTTATGAGGACACATACGGTAACCAGGCGAAGCGTGAAAATTAGAGAGGGAAGATAAAATAGTCACCTTGGCGGGACAAAAAGAGAAAGAAGAACAGAAAAAGAAGAAGACGTCAGATACACACACACATTCGTGGCGGACTAGAATTTGTCAAGAAGGGACCTTGAGGAGGAAGAGTGGGGGAGAGGAAGGGATAATCAATCCGGGATTGACAACAATGCATTTTTGAAAAGTTTCTCTTTTTGTTTGGTCTGTCCCAGAAAATGAAAATGATGAAAACCGAATGTCCGTCCCTCCTCCTCCTCCTATCACTTGTCACTTGTCACATTTCACTGTTGATTAACGACAACGAAGGAGAAGAAGGAGATGGAGATGGGAGGAGACGTCTGATTCTTGAATAATACGGTATGTTTTGATATGAAACTTGAGAGAGTGGGAGAGAGAGAAAAAAAGAGAGAGAGAGAGAGAAAAAAAAAGAGAGAGAGAGAGAGAGAGAGAGAGAGAGGGTGAAATGGGCTGGAACCTATGGGATTGCCTAACGATTCGGAGGATTGGATATTTATAGGGTCGATATTTCCTTGTGATCTTTGAAAGCCCGAAATCTGAATTTTTCGATTTTGTGATAAATTGCAATGATTGCTGTTACAGTTTGAGTTACATTACTTTTGAAACTACGAGGAGCCTGTAGCTTGCACCTGCTCTAATAGAGAACCGCGGTATATTCGACCTTTTGAGCTTAATTATCTCGGTTCCTATGAGATATATCAAAAATCTGTCAACTGATAAAATGTTTTTCATGATATCACCAGCATTTCATCAGTTAACCGCGTTTTGATATATTTTATAGGAACCGAGATAATTGAGCCCAAAGTGTAAGTGAGTTCCAGCAGAGCATTTACGGTATAATTGATTACACTGTTAGCTCAATTATCTCATATAAGAGATATCAAAAATTTGTCAACTGATAAAATATTTTTTAAAATAACAGTAACATTTTATCAGTTAACACATTTTAGATATTTCTCATATGACCTGAGATAATTGAGCTTAAAGTTATAGTACCGCGAGAACTGTAATTTAACTTTTAACTTTGAGTTCAATTATCTCGGTTCCTATGAAAGATATCAAAAAACTTGTAACTGATAAAATGTAGATAATTTTAAGACAAACATTTTATTTTTTAACAAAAATTCTATATCTCACATAAGAGCTGAGATATTTGAGCTCAAAGTTGACGGTGGGGGGGGGGGTGTATTCCATTAGAGCGTTTGAGGTATCCGGCGGGGTTCTGTTAGACTTACGGTATTTTTAAACTTTTATCATTTTCCAGAACTGCTTAATCTAGAAAGAACGACTCATAAAACAAATTGTTTGCTAAAATTTCTGCAAAACCAACAAAAAAAAACGAACGACATCAGGAAGTGATGCTCCAGATTATACAACACCATGTGCTTCGTTTTTTCAAGCACACCCCACACACAAACAAGCGAAAAAAGTGGTGATAAAAAGTGAGAAAACTGATGTATCACCACCAGTTCACGAGACCACCTTTATACTATTTGCGGGAAAAGTGCATCCTGATGAGCTCAACGCGAATAATTGGCAGGTGGTCGACATAGTCAGTTTCGGTGCCGGCCGGTACCAGTCGCGACTCCAGCAAATTCTCCTGATAAGGAATTAGAAGAGCAGGAGGTGAGTGACAGGTACATGAAAAGGTATGGGGGTACGACAAGACACAGCAAAAAGGAAATTCCAGATGACGGGGGCCTCATTAGAAAAGTCATAAAATGAAATGGTCGGTTGGTGTTGTGTCGGCTACTATAGCAATCTCTAACCACGATCTGACCGCTACAGCTAGCATAAAATCAAATAATGACATTGCCTTTGTTGCGCAGAAATGTTACTAGGAGGGGGTTACAAATAAGGAGCAGATGGTTTTGGTGACAGGGCAAGAAATGACAAAAGGAGGGACAAAAAACTTGGTTGCGTAACCTGAAGCATTAATTTGTAGGGAAGGGGGATTTGGTTGGTTCCTTTTGGTCCCTCCTCGACAGGCTCCGCCCAGATGCTCTCACCCGAACACTTAATATCCCCCGCTTTGATGTATGGACAGGTGAGGGGACTATTCGAGAGGGGGTACTTGTAATAATAAAATGGCAAACACTGCGGAGGGGGAGCAATTTGAATAGTAGGGTTGATAGGTGCTAACGAGAAATGATCTGTTGGGTTGTCATTAGAGAGAAAGTGTGAATTGTTATTCGATGGGAATGGGAAAATGAGGGGGAATGGATAGGGCTTTGTTTAGGAAGAATTTCAGAAGAATCCGGGAATCCTGGAATGCAGTAATGCAGGAATCTGAGAATATAGGATGTTGGGAATTTATGAATCCAGGAATCCCAAAACCCAGGAATCCAAGAATCTAAGAATTCAAGAAGCCAAGAATCCACGAATCCACAGAAATCCATATCTTTAAAAAATAACGGTAATTTCGCAGAAGTATTACTGTAGTGTAGTGTTACTGTAGTATTTAGAGTGCACTTACACAACATCCCAAAAAACACCTATTGGGATTTTTCGATTTTCCGATTTCCCAAAGTTCGGACTATCAAAGTTGGAAATTCGTAATTTTGGGATTTTCCAAAAACTTGGAATTTCCGGGCATCAAAATTTCCAGAATTACCCGTTTTGGAATTTGACTATCTCACTCTCAAAATTAAGAATTTTGACAATTTTTAGAATTTGGGTATTTATGAGTTTCGAAGTCAGGGATCCAGGAATCCAGGAATCCAGAATCCAGAATCCAGAATCCAGAATCCAGAATCCAGAATCCAGAATCCAGAATCCAGAATCCAGAATCCAGAATCCAGAATCCAGAATCCAGAGAATCCAGGAATCCTTAAATCCAGGAATCCAGGAATCCAGCAATCCTGCAATCCAGGAACCCAGGAATGCAGGAATCCAGGAATCCAGGAATCCATGATCCATAGGGTCTAGGACCCATAGGATCTTAAATCCATAGAATCTGGGAATCCAGGAATCCAAGAATACAAGAATCCAAGAATCCAAGAGTCCAGGAATCCAGGAACCCAGGAATCCATGATCCATAGGGTCAAGGACCCATAGGATCTTCAATCCATGAGATTTAGGATTCATGAGATCTAGGATTCAAAGGATCCAGGGTCCCAAAGATCCTAGAATCTCAAGATCTAGAATCTATCGGGTCATAGGATTCATAGGACTCAGAAATCCAAGAATCTTAACAAACAAAAAAAGGACAGCTGACTCCAAAAAAGAGAAACTAGGTCACCCAAGAAGGTAACTCACGTATTGGTCGTGTCATAAAACATGGCAACACATGTTCGTACCCGTAATGATAAAATCTAGAATAACCGAATAACCATCTGCTCCTAGAATTCTGGTGGTGGTAAGAGTGTACCAATTGGCCACTGGTCTCTTTTTAGCACCGACTCACCCTCACTCTTTTATTTCAACTCTTATCGGTCCCTTTTGACGCGTGGCATTTTTTTAATGATCGAGTTGATGGTAGGTTTAATGGCTTTTCGCGAGGGTCGAGATAAATTAAGACGAACAAAAAAAACGAAGAAAAAAGTGAGGTTGATGGACATGTCCTTTTTTGCCTGGTGTGCCAGAAAATGTGTGATATGAAGAGATTCTGATTGACGGTTGAGCACAGGGAAGTCATCAAATGGGCAAATAACTAAATGTTTATGGGTGGAAATAGGAAAACAAATTATTTGAGAATTGATAGCTAGAGTTTACTGTACTTTGAAATCATCAATGGGGAATGATCAGAGTTTGCGATCCTGGAATTCAGAATGTTTCTGGAATTCAGTAAATTCAGAATAAAATTGTTTGCGATTCTGGAATTCAGCAGAATCGTGAAACCTAGGCTCCCAGGAACCCTGGAATTCAGGAATTCGGGAACTACGGAATTCAGAAATACAAGAATCCAGGAACCCAGAAGTTCAGGATTCGAGTAATTTAGGAATCCGGGAATTCAGGAATCCAGAAATTCAGGAATCCAGGAATCTAGATTTGCGAATTCCAAAATCTCTTGAAACTCATTTTCAGAATCTCAGAATTCCGCTTCTTCCTAACTTCAAGTTTCTAGATCACAAAACTTCAAAATGGAAAATTTTATAATTCTGGAAAACTGAAATTTACTATTTTTGCAATTCCTACTGATTCAGGTAAAAATTGAACAATCTAAATTTAAGAATCTCAGAATCTCAGAATCTCAGAATCTCAGAATCTCAGAATCTCAGAATCTCAGAATCTCAGAATCTCAGAATCTCAGAATCTCAGAATCTCAGAATCTCAGAATCTCAGAATCTCAGAATCTCAGAATCTCAGAATCTCAGAATCTCAGAATCTCAGAATCTCAAAGTTCTTCAAAATTTCAGAATCCTCTCTCCAAATCTTTGTTCACTAATTTGCATAATCCTAGATCTCCCTGACGCACACAATTAATTGTTTTATTGCTCATACTACAGTACCACTTGCCCCTTAATTGACCTAAACTAATTTCCAGAATTATTTGACACCACCTGTTTCAAAAATTCAAAAAAAGAACCACCTACTCACCCAATTACACCTGCCAAATAAATCTCAAAATTGCGTAATCAGATGAGAGCTCTCAATGAAAAAGAGGGTGTGTGACGCCATCAGGACCCTGACATGTTTGGGAGGAGGAAATGAGACAATAGAAGGATTACTGTACGTATTACAGTTTTCAAATGACGAGAATTGGAAACCAGTTTTCTCTAGGACTAACGAGGTACTAATTAGGAATAGGAATACTGTAGCAGCAGTTTAAAGGTACATCCGTCTGCATTGAGGAAAACGAAAAAAGAAAGTGATAAAAGTGAGAATGAGTCAGGTGACCATGACCGGGAAGGAAAGATACAAAACGAATCCATAACCATAAAAATAAGAATAAACCGGAACCAAATTGTATAATAAACGGACCCGCCGCGCGCATAGTTATAGTCTCAAGCGCGTCTCATGAATTGTTTTTGAAATATGGTCTTGGTTAGAAAATAAGGGATGAGGGATAGGTTTCAACGTTTGGGGTGGGAGGGGACACACATCCAATAAATCAGTTATAAGATGATTGGCACGTCACCAGAAAACAGAAGAAGAGGAAGAAGAAGAAGGGATGAAGGGCCCAAGGTTGGCGCCAATATTGGCTCAAGGGTGTCTAGGAGGTGTCAGAATTTGAATTCTGAGATTCTGAGATTCACAAGGCAAACAGAACATCTGGAAAATTTGGAATTTCAGAGTTCAAAATTGATCGGGATCTTAAAAATTCAGAATCTCGGAATCTCAGAATTCCTCAACGGACGATCGACTGCTGAATTTCTGAGATTATGGATTCTTATTTGAAAACTTCAAAAGTTCAGGAGCTTAAAATGCAAGGTTAATATCTGGATAACTTCAGAATCTCAAAATTTGGGACGGCGGATTTTTAGAATTTTCGAAAATCGGAATCTCAGAATCTCAGAATCTTAGAATCTCGGAATCTCAGAATCTCAGAATCTCAGAATCTCGAAATCACAAAATTTCAAAATCGCAGAATTTCAGCATTTCAGAATTTCAGCATTTCAGAATTTCAGAATTTCGAAATTAAAGAATTACAGAATTTCCGGATTTCAGAACCTCAGAATTTCAGAATTTCAGAATCTCAGAATCTCAGAATTTCAAAATCTCAGAATCTCAGAATCTCGGAATCTCAGAATCTCAGAATCTCAGAATCTCAGAATCTCAGAATTGCAGAACTTCAGAGTCTCAGAATCTCAAAACCTCAAAATTTCAAAATCTCAGATTCTCAGAATCTCAAAATCTCAAAATCTCAGAATCTTAAAATCTTAGAATCTCTGAATCTCAGAATTTCAGAATCACGGAATCTCAGAATCTCAGAATTCCCAGAATCTCAGAATCTCAAAATCTCAAAATCTCAGAATCTCAAAATCTCAAAATCTCAGAATCTTAAAATCTTAGAATCTCAGAATTTCAGAATCACGGAATCTCAGAATCTCAGAATCTCAGAAACTCAGAATCTCAGAATTTCAGAATCACGGAATCTCAGGATCTCAGAATTCCCAGAATTTCAGAATTTCAAAAGTTCAGAATCTCAAAATCGCAGAACTCTTATACGGACGATTGGCGGCTGAACGGCGGCTGAGTAAAAGTTCTGATTCAAGAATTCTGATTCAACTAAAAAAAAATCAAAACCTCCAGAAATGAAAAGCACAGATGCCGGAAATTTGAAAATCTGTGGGCATCATCGCATCAGAGACTCCTCCCTCCCCGCTGGCACCCATATGTTCTAAAGTATCGTATTTCGCGCATTTCATCGGCTTTTCATCATTTCTCTCTTTTTTAATACCCGACACCCGATGTTCATTTCATTCGGACTCTCCGTTCTCTCCACGAATCACAAACTATTCCACCGCCCAAAAACACATATTCTCGGTTGGTGTGCTCGTTGTAAAACTGCAAATGCGACACATAAAAACCTCTATGCTTTTGAGCTTTTGCCGCCGACGCCGGCCCCATCCGGTGGGTGCTCAGGGAAGGAAACAGAAGTACCATTTTATGGGGAAGGGGTATAAAAACATTCGGAAGGATAATGGTAAGAGGTTTTTGAGGAGAAACAAATGGGGTTCAAGTAGAAGAGAAGAAGCTAACACAGCTTGTAAAGGGCTAACACAGCTTGTAATGTTGTAAATGCGCTCAAACGCGAATACCGTAAAAACTGTAAGAAGAGAACCTAACTTTTACCTTTTAGCCAATTTATCTCACTTCCCGTCAAAGATATGGAAAAGTTGTCGATTGATAAAATGTTTATCATAATATCAGAAATATTTTGTCAGTTGCTCACTTTTTGATATCTTGCATAGAAATTAAGATAATTGGGCTAAAACCAAGCAGTGTGGGGGCCCTTCTATTTCAGGTTTTTCTAGTCTGACGGAGATGCGCGTCGCGATCAAAAATATAATTTAAAGGTGCATTGTCGGTCCAGTAGCGAAAAAACAAAATGTTCATTTGAATCAGTGCATACGCCTTTAATACCGTACCTCACAATAAATTCATTTGGGTATATTTTTAGCTGTTTTTCTATTTTATGAAAATCAGGCACAAAAACAGGCAAAACATTGAGGGAAAGTGATCTGAATTAAAATAAATATAAATCTATGAGGTACGGTATTAGAGGCGCATGTACTGTTACTAAAAAAAAGAAAGATGAAAGGTCAAACAATTTTTATTGCTGAACTTCGAGCTTAATTATCTCGATTCCTGTAAGAGATATCAAAAAGCAGCCAACTGATAAAATGTTACTGACATTATGTTAAATAATTTATCAATTAGCTACTTTTTGATATCTTTCACAAGAAACGAGATATACAGGCTCAAACTACACTATAACTTTTTCTAAAATAACGCCACCCTGTACTTGCCCTTTTAGCGCAATAATCTCGGTTCCTTTAAGAGATATCAAAAATTTGTCAACTGATAAAATGTTGGTGATATCATAATAAACATTATATCAGTTGACAATGTTTTGATATCTCTTATAAGAACCGAGATAATTGAACTCAAACTGCATGGAAAAAATTATTTCCAAAAACTCGGTGGAAAATTCAAAAGAAGAATACTGTCGTTTTGGACAGACTGACCTCCTTTGAGAGTTCCCAAGAATCCATTCCCTACAGAAGGAAATTAGTTTTAGTTTTAGTCCTCCTCACCGAAATAGTGCGCCTTTTGAAGAAACAGCCAGACAACTCTCAATCACACATCTCGAGAAGGTCGTACACTAATTGGAATACAAATTGAAATCATCACACTTCTCCGCTATTCCAAAACTTCTAGAGGGATATATGGAGGCGAATGATGATTATGAGAGTGGCGTAATACGATTAGGTAAGTGGCACTTTTGAGTATATTTATGCGCAAGGCAGCAGCAAAAAAGAGACCGCTCGCTGATGAAGAGGAAGGGGTGAATTGAGAAGATTATTGACCTGGGAACGAAGGAAATCTGAGGAGAAGGAGGTAGTATAGCTGTCCACAGTTTATGACTTTCTGATGTGTTTTTCGAGGAATTGGGTTTCATTCTGATCTGAAGAAGCAGCAGCTAGGGGGAGCTGAGAAAGAAGTGAGGAATCGGAGTCAGAAAATTGCAGATTGGATATTATTCTAGTACAGAAAAATCAAAGCTGTGAAGGGGGCCCGCGATGGTCCCACAGATAGTAACAACTTCCATAATCTCATCTTGCTCCTGGTCAACACCCAGGACCCAGGACCCAGGACCCAGGACCCAGGACCCAGGACCCAGGACCCAGGACCCAGGACCCAGGACCCAGGACCCAGGACCCAGGACCCAGGACCCAGGACCCAGGACCCAGGACCCAGAAAATGCTTATCATAATATCAAAAACATTTCGCCGGTTTACCACTTTTTTATATCTTTCACAGGAACCGAGATAAATTTACTCAAAGTTGAAAGTTAGGGGGGTCTTTCTATTAGAATGGCTACGGTATGTTTTGTTCCCAAAACTTTGAAATTTTGACAAAAGAACAAGATAACGGCAGCCGACTCAGAACAAAAATCGAAAATTTGAATTTTTATCACAAACAATTTCAAAAACTCTGTGAATCAAGCAAAAAACCTTGTTTTGCCACCTATAATCAGCTAGTAAAGGTGCTGTTGTATTAGAGGAAGTTTTGGACTACAGCTGGCGTTATGATTCGGTAAATTCTGCAAATAAAAATGTTTTTAGGTTTACACTAATTGTCGTCGAGAATCGTCGAATTAGTTCAGAAAAACAAAAAATACGAAAACTTTAAAACTTTAAAACGCAACCAAAATGTCTAAAAATAGTGTCTGAGCAACTTTGAATTTGTATTCACATCGAAAAAGCGATTTTTGCATTTTGAAAGGTTTTAAAAAGGTAAAAACATATGTATTATCTTCAAGCTTAGCCGAATGATCGAGTTTCTTTCAAGAATTTTGATGTTTTTTCGAGTTTTTTGCTGGTTTCTGGGTGAAATTATCGTTTTTATTCATTTTTCGAATTTATCAACTCTTTCAAACAGTTTCTTCACTGCTTTAAAAAATATTTTCCAACGAAAAACCGTTTTTTTTCCACCACAAACGCCTTCTCCCAGGAACTTTCCCATTTCAAACTGCCGCTAACGAAGAGGGGCGCGTTGCGTGTCGCGTCGCGGCTCCAGCTGTCCTCTCGTTTTATTTCACTCTCTTTTCACCCGCTTCTTCTTCGGATGTTTCCTGTTTCCCCACCCTCCGTCCACTCACTTGTTTGATTTGTCATCGTTTTATGTTCAAAATTCTTGCCTTTTTCCTCCTAGTTTATCGATTTTCCCTCCATAAAACTGCATTTTTCAGTGTTAACCTAGAAACTGAAACGCAAGACATGTCGGATCCAGTCGCCGATTTTTTGGCTCGTGAGCAGAATTTGTTTGCTGATTTTGATGGAGCTCCACCAGCAGATGCTCCAGCTGATCCAGGTGAGATTATTTTATTAATTTTCAACCGAAAAATTGTGTTTTTGCAGCCGCCGCCGGATTGGATGACGACTTTGGAGATCTTCAAGTAAGAATTTAAAACGAAATTTCGTAATAAAACGAGTTAATTTCAGATCGCTGGAGATCTGGAACCACAACCACCAGTTGTGCACCCAACTGATTCTGGCGTCGATTTGGATGGGCTTGTCGATGACAACGCTGCGCCAATCGTCGTCGATCCACCAATGTTGAACGGAAATCATGGAGCGCCTTCGGGTGGAAGCTCCACGGGACCATCGCCAGTGCTCTCGACAGTGCCCAGAATCGAAGCGGAGAAGATTCGGGCGTGGAAAGCGCAGCAAGAGCAATTGTTGGCGCAAAAGGATGCTGCTGAGGAGAAGAAGAAGGACGAGCTTCGTGCCAACGCCAAAAAGGAGCTGGAAGAGTGGTACAAGCAGCGCGAGAAGACTCTTCAGTTGTCGCACGATGAGAATTTGTAAGTTTTTGGTTTTGTGTAGGGGTTTGTTGCTAGAAGTCCTAGTGTTTAGCGGTCCGGCTGATAGCTTGTCCCTAGCGATATTCAGACAGTTTTGGTACGAATTGATAGATCTAGACAGGGCCCGTCAAGCCTATATCATTCTAGCCGGATTCCATTCCGGTAACATGCCGCAAACTAAGCTTGAATGACAATTTTCGACCTACTTGACAAAAATCAGATTTTTTGTTATTCAATCGGAATCCAGCTCGAATGATATAGCATTCAAGCCGGAATCCCGTTCGATGATATAGCATTCGGGCCGGATTCTGGTCCGATTGAATGACTCAGGTTGCGGCATGTTACCGGATCGGAATACGGCTCGAATGATAAAGGCGTGATGGGTCCTTTCAATATCTACCATTTAGTACCTAAACCGTCCGAATATCTCATTTTAGAGACAAGCTATCAGCCGGCCCGCAACTATGCTGTTTACTGTCATTATGCTATTGCAAACCCGTACAATTCAATATTTTCCAGGAAAAACGAGAAAGCCAACCAAGAGCTGTTCGCCAAGCAACAAGACGGAGACGCCCAGTGGGAGACTGTGAACAAGCTCGTCGAGCAGCAAAAGTCGAAGAGTGGAAGAGATTTGAGTCGTCTGAAGACGCTGCTCGCCGGTCTCAAACACGCCCAATAATTTTTCGTACTTTTGTCTCCTACACCTTTTGCATATTCGCTTTCCCCCTTTCTTTGTTAAATAATGTATTTATTATTTATAAGCAAAAGTAGTCAATTTTCACCTGTCCCGATATATGGTTGTCATTCACTTTCCTTTCCGAAACTATTATTTCCCATTTTCCGTCGACCGAAGATAATTTTAACCAGTCCCCTTTTCTTTACCCCGATAATCCCGTCCTTGTGATAATTCATTTTAGAAGATGAACCGTTTTACTGAAATTTTACATTTTCCACCGTTTAGCGTACTTTGCGTTGTTTCATTTTTGCTAGGTGTTGTGTTGTGGCATGCAAACTTTTTTTTTGAATTTTAAATTCTGAATTGATCATCCATAGCACACCACCTGGCCCTTTCAGATGAGCTACGGCGAGGATCAGCCGACGTTCGAAGAGCTGATGGAAGTTGCACAGAAGCAGCAAGAAGTCATTGAAATCTACGAGCAACAAATGGATGCGTCTCGTCTGGAGTGCTCAAAGCTAACGGAAGAAAATGACAAGAAGAGCGAAATCATTAAATTGATGGAGACGTCGGAAATTCTGCTGAAGGCAGAAATTGAATCGTTGAGAGTATGTTTAGAGAATCGCAAAATGTTTTATAATAAACGGAAATTTGAAATTTGAATAAATTGAAATGTAAATATAAACAAAGAAAAATTTTGGCAGAACAAAAAAGAAATGAAAGCGGAGACGAAGCAAAAACCAGAAGAAACCAGAGAAGATCGGGAGCTGGAAACGATTGAAGAGTTGAGACTGAAGTGTAAAGAGGTGAGCAATTGACACGTGGAACTTCTGGAAATAAATTGGCTGAAAATCGCAGAAAATAAGACACTTTCGACGGAAAAAACCGCGAAAAATAGGGGAAAATTGATATTGTATTACTGTAGCTTTGATTTTCGGTGCAATGCACTATATCTGACGACACATCTCTCAGAAATTCGAATTTTTCAGGTTTTTATCGATTTTTCAGGTATTTTTCCCCCAAAAAGTCGGAAAAAAGAGAAAATAGAAATATTCTTAGATTACTGTAGTTGCCGTTGTGGGACCTTAAGTCCACTTCTTTGTAATAATGTCAAATGTCACTTCCACGTTATGGAATCGTGGAAGAGACGAAATTATGTGCTGAGCCAATTTTGGGCGCGTCGCGTGTCGGCGTAGCGGTCGCAAACTGAGTAGCGACTCAACATCAACGCTTAAGACGCTTTAATTTACAAAGAAAGTTTTGAAATTCTGAAAACTAGAAAAGTTTCGCGACAAACAAAAGCGATTTTCTTAATATTCTCGTTCGCGATGCCGCGACTAGACCACCCCCATAATTTAAGCGCAATTATCTCAATTTCTTTGAGAGATATCAAAATTTTGTCAACTGATAAATTGTTCATCATAATATCACCAACATTTTATCAGTTGACAGAATTTTCATATCTTTCATAAGAACGGAAATAATTGAGCTCAAAGGAAAATCACTGGGAAGATCGGTAGGGTGCGACCGCGTAGCTCAATTATCTCGCTTCCTGTAAGAGATATCAAAAATGTGTCAACTGATAAAATATTGGTGATATTATGATAAATATTTTATCAGTTGGCAGTTTTTTGATATCGTTTGAAGGAACCGAGATAATTGAGCTCAAAGGAAATCTTGAAAAACCCAACTATATATTCCAGCTGACCTACAAGTTAGAATCGATGAAAACCCAACAAACTTCCCTGGAAATCGAACTCGAGACACAGAAGAAAAACAACGAGTTTGTGAGAAACGAATTAATCGAAGAAAGGAAGCAAAGAGCTTCTGAAAAGGATCGTCTCACTTCGAACTATCAAATTCTGGAGCAACAACTCAAACAGAATATGGAAGAGATTCAGACTAAACTCAACAAGTCAAAAATGGAATTGGGACAATTGAAAACGGATTTGGAGATGAAGGAGCATCGAGAGAAGCAGTTGGAAAGGCTATATGAGGACGTTATGGTTGAAGTGAATGAGATAAGAAAGGAGAAATCGGCAGTGGTGGTTCGATGCTCATCGATGAGTGCGGAAATCGGAGAATTGAAGGCAAAGAATCAGCAATTGAAGGCGAGGATACCGGGGAATGAGAATGATATGGAGGATATGAATAAGTTGTTAGGGGATCAGAGTCATCTGATTGCCGCGTTGAGAGAGGAGACGAAGCTGTTGGCTAGGAAGGTGGAGGTGGATTCCAGAGAGTACAGGTGGGTAGGAATCCTATGGATTCTAAAACTCAGATCCTATAGATCCGCGATTCTTGGGTTCCTAGATTCTATGGCCCCTGGATCCTATGGATCTGTCGATCCTATGGATCCCTGGATTCCTGGATTCCTGGATTCCTCGATTCTTGGATTCCTGATCCTTATGGATCCTAATAGATTGTAGATTCTTGAGTTCCTAGGGATCATAGATTCTTGGG